AATGCATTTCAAATTCCAAAACAGGTTAAATAGGAATTCTTGAAACATAACAATTTGTAAGTGGGTGGCTACTTGTAAAAATGCTGGCACTGGTTTAAGCCAGCTGGCATTATTAAGAAGAGGAACTGGCTCTTAAGTCCTCTGCTTATAAGGTCAGCAAAGGAACTGAAGTATCATCAGGTCTACTGTAGAGAAACTTAAAATAACTCCTTGTCATCACTACATGTTTAGTGAAGGGTGAAGGGTAAAAGTATCCTTAATTAACTTCAAAGAACATTTTGAAAAAGAAGACAATATGGAAGCAATTATTAGTTTTATTAGTAGGATCACAAAAGATTATGAAAACTCATCCTATTGGTAGACAGCTAATCAGAAGATCGATGCAAGAATATTAAGTTTGTTCTTTAAAATGTGGAAGTTAGCCCTAACTGTTTTTGGCTCAGTGGATAAAGCCAAAGTTGACCTATGGACTGAAGGGTCCCAGGTTCGATTCTGGTCAAGGGCATGTGCCTTGGTTGTGGGCACATCCACAGCAAAGGGTTTGCAGGAGGCAGCTGGTCAATGTTTCTCTCTCATTGATGTTTCTAACTCTCTATCCCTCTCCCTTCCTCTCTGTAAAAAAATCAATAAAATATATATTTTTTAAAATGTGGAAGTTAAGCACCCTTGAAGATATTGCCTTCCCTAGTCACTGTCTTTCTAAAACATAGGGAAATGAAAAAATGGAAGTGAAAGATTGAGTAATCAACCTAGTTTTGCTTTCAGGTCACTGCACTGACTAAACTAGGAAACATAAAATTCCAAAAGCATGCAAAAATTCAGATTTTCATCATAAAAGCATTAACTGAGTGCTTCCTTTCTATTTCTAATGTATTTTAGTCCATGAGTGAGCAAGCATGTACATGAGCACACATAACATAGAATGACTGGTTCTAAAGGAGTAACTAAAAGCATAAGAATCATAAAGAATAAAGCAGCATCCCTGATAAAAATGAAACCAAAAATTGAGCGGTGAGCTATGACTTTTGGAAGATAACCCTATGCTACAACTTAAACAGATCTGTAACCCTCTACATCCGCTCCCACCTGCATCCCACCAGCTCCTTCAGTACTGAAGAGCTGTATTTCTCTTAAGGCACCAAAGACTTTCAAACTCCTAATTGTGTTATCTAGCCTAAGCCTTATCCTGTAATGCTCTTTCCCTCTATTCTCTCCACTACAGCCTTAGTGGTCTTTTGTTCCATAAATATTCAAGCCCATTCTTGACATAGGAACTTGTTCTAGCTCTTCTAACTGAAAAGCTCTTCCTCTTGTCACAAGATAAATTCCTTTCTGTTACTTCCTCAGAAAAGTGTTTCCCATACCTAAACAACCACCCTAGTGCTGATATTATTTATTTTTAGATCTGTTTATACTCTTCTGTTCCCACGAGAATGTAAGACCCATAGAGCAAGGACCTTGTCTGTGTTGGCCACCATTGAGAACAGTTCTGGGATATAGCAGACACTCAATAAACATACTGACTGTGATGAAGAGTGGTCATTCAGTATTTATTGAGCATGGTGCCATATGCTGGCTACATATAATGCCAAGTCTAGTAAGAAAGCTCATGGACCTTCCAGTTTTGTGAGAGACCATAAGCAAGGGAACACACAAATACTTACATATTGTGACAAATGCTATTAAGGAAATAAGTGTAATGATTGAGAACTGAGGAGAGGCTACTTTAATTAGAGCAAGGAGGAACGTGCCTGAAATGAATTTGCAGAGGTAGGTGGGAGCCAGATCATGTAAGGGAATGCCAAGAAGTTTGAAGTTTATTGTATATTTTGAAATTGGAAGTTTTTAGGATTTTAAGCAGAGAATGAAAGCTGATTTGCATTTTTAAAAAGTATCTTAGACTTCTAGTCAAGTTGATTTGAAGTTCACAAACTCCCCATCTTTGTCCAAAACATCTCTGAATGAATACAGAAAATTTCAAAAGAATATCCCAATATATACACAATATTTCTATGAACAAAAAAAAAGTAGAAAAGTATAATAAATCGGTTAAGTCAAATATCACCCACACAGACATGCACCCTAGGCTTAAATAATTTTATGGATGAATTTTATTCACTCTTCGAAAAAAACAAATAATCTCTATGTTTACAAACTATCCTATGAGAGCATGAATACGAAGGATCCATTCAGCTTGAGGATAGTGGTTACTCTGAAGAGGGGTGGAATGGAATCGTGGAAGGCTACAAAGAAAGATTCCGCTATATCCATACCTTTTAGCTCCTGAAAAGGTCTGGAGCAAGCTTACAAAATGTGAATAGCCCTAAAGTATAAGTGGTAGGTACGAAGAAGCCATTATGTTGTACTCCGTATTTCCTGTTTGATATATTTGAAATCATTTATAAAAAATCAGCCGTGCCTGATGTCTACACAATGAAATGGAAGAGAGCAAGAGTGAAACAGGAAGACCTTCTAGAAAGCATGTGTAGAAATCCTGGCTATAGTAATAATGACTGAGACTCGAGCTGATAATAGTGAGATGAAGTAGATTAAAGTAAAATTATATTTCCATGGAATGATTTGTGGAACTCATTGATAGACTGGATATGAGGAGCTCAGAAGAGGAAAAACTCAAGGTTAACTGTGGCTAAGGCAATGTGTACATGAAGGTGCCATTTTATCCGACAAAGAAAACTGGGAAAGGAACCAGTTAGCGGGCACGATAGAATCCTGTTTTAAGTTCATCTCCTATTTCTTCCACTCAGACATAAGCTCTTTATGGGGAGCATTGTATACCTTACCTTACCTCTGTATTCCCTAAGTTCCTAACATAACTATGCCAAATCACTGTTACACAGTGTACACTGCCTTGTTCAGTTGGTCCTCTGTATCTGGGATTCTACACCCATGGATTCTACCAGCATGGATTGAAAATATTTTGGGGCAGAAAAAAAAGTTACATTGTTGCTGACATGTATGATGTAGTTAGACCTATGGTAACTGTGTCTGTACAAACATGTATGGACCTTTTTTCTCATTGCTCCCTAGCAATAAAGTATAACAATTATTTAAACAGTACTTACATTGTATTAGATACGATAAGTAACTTAGAGATAATTAAGTTATACAGAAGGATGTGAGTAGATTATGAAAAGGATTTACGCATCTGTGGATTTTTATATTTGTGGGGGGTCCTGGAACCAATCCTCCCAGTAACTGAGGGAAGACTATATTGTTTTGAAAACCAGACAACCTTTTTTAAAAGTGTCAGCTTTCAGAAACATTTGATATCATTTAATAGCCTAATAACAAAAATAAATTTTCAAGAAGTTCCAATAAGTTTTATCATGCAGCTTATTTAGATTTTTATGTTCCATATAAATTTATTTTCCACATTAAGCCATTTTAATTAATTTTGTATGATTTTACCAGCTAGATGCATTATAAGCTATGCATTATTAAAAGGCAAACCATTGTAAATGGGATAATAGTAGGGCTATTATTACATAGCATCTCCTTACCAATTACTATTCATTTATTTTAGTTATACAGAGCCCCTTATCTCCTGTGATTCATTAACGACCTCAAATAAGTAAGCAGGAACATTTCTGTAATATTTAGTTAGAATTGGTATTCACACCGAAAGCATTAGGTCCCTTATCATAAGGAAACTAATGCTTAAAATGACTTGTCCAAGGGTGTACAGCGAGCAAATATAACTGCAAGCTAATTTTGCTGTGCTTAAAGAGCTGATGCTATATATATTAGAAAAATGACCAAATCTCCTCAAAATTTATCCAGAAGATAGACTCTAATTATTCCTTTGCTTACTTTTGAAGTCAGAATCATGATACAGAGATTTTTCTAATACTACATTATTGGAATGGTAGGAATAAAATCATGTAGACCTTTAAGGGATCATTAAAGCAAATTGTTTTCCTTCCTAAGATAAAAAGGTCACCAAGTTTCTTTAGAGGGAATTAACTGTGTCTTAAAAAGTCATAATACTTGAGTATATTATGATACCACAAGTTTCGATTCTTATTTTTATGTTGCTCAAAACCAAAACAAGTATATTTCAACCACTGCATCTGGCAACTATCCCTTTTTGGTGAATGATGACAACTAAGCAGTAAATCTAGGTCAATTTTTATTTCAAACACAGTGAATGCTGTGATTTTAAGCACTTTCAGAGTAACTTTATGCTTGTATTTCCCTTTCATAATTTATTCCTTAACTTGGGGAATTTGGGGAGGGCAAGGACACCTTCCTGGTAGCTCAGAGTTCAACAAAGGTAAGGTCCTCAAAGCCATATGTATAACTATTCCTTGCAAATATATTAGGTCTTAACAAATTTTTTAATAGTTCAGAAGCATTACTTTTGCATGCCAAAAGTAAATTCCAAAAGGTTTCTTAGGAAAATTGTTACAAATTTTAAAATGTGAGAATAGAGCCACTTAAAAATATAATGATCCCACATTTTTAGCAAAGCCACTTGTTTCTGCATTTACATAACTTTGTATCAATTTGATTTCTGTTTTAGAGGATAGCTCTAAATGGAAACAGTATTGAGTTGAAAGGTGTAACAACTGTATACATCTCTTAGGTTCAACACTGTATTTTTAGTGGATTTTATTTTGTAAAGGATAAAAAAAAACAATGAAGGTGACAATGGGAAGTGACACCATGAGTACTTCAATAGTATAAATCTGGCCGTAGTGCAAAGTTAGAGATGGGAGAGTATTATAATAAAAGTTAGAGAATGGAAAGCTGTTATAATAGTCTAGGTCAGGAGAAAGCTCAGATTCGTGTGTCCTACTCCTAGAGATTCTGAGTTAGTAGGTTTAGAGCAATTTCTCATATCCTTAGTAAAGAGCTAAACATGGCTGGCTAATAGTTAGAGCATCAGCCCTTGATGCTGACACCTTTAAGTGAGTTATCAGGAACCCATAAAAATTACAAGCTGATTCTGCATTTTTACCACAAATGAACAGACTCACCTGGATCAGGGTCATATTTTAGGTCCACTGGGTGTACAACAGGGTGGTATTCTTTCTAAACATAATATAAATTAAAATAGATTTAATGCCTCATATAAACATTTTCTTCAGCTAATGTAAGTAAATATACTATTAGTAGTACCATTCTTTTGCCCCCCTCAACCCACCCCCTACCCCGAAAATGAAATCCTGCAATCTGTAGGAAAGGGAGAGGAAAAGAAGAAAAGATCTAAGTCTGAACTATACTTTTTACAGTATTGCCACCTACTGCATAAACTAAGAAATTACACCATAAAAATTTTAAGGAAAGCAATCAAGCAAATTAAAGACACAGAGACTAAATTTTGTGTTTCAAGTACTAGATAGTCTCCAAATTACGAGTGAACTGTTTTTCAAATATTCACTTTAAGACAAGAGTTTGGAACTCAGAGCTCATATTCCCACAGAAAGTGTTTTTAAAAGTGGCTGCCACTGCCATGCCAGCACATTAAAGCCTACAGTATATATCCTGTGACACACTAGGACTACAGTAGCAGAATTACTGCTAAAAAAAGAGGAAAATCTTCCTCCTTACTCTTGTCCAAAGCTAGCAAGAGCCAAAAAGGTTTTTTAAAATATATTTTTTATTGATTTTTTACAGAGAGGAAGGGAGGGAGATAGAGAGCCAGAAACGTCGATGAGAGAGAAACCTCCTCATGCAGCCAACGTACATGCCCTTGACCGGAATTGAACCTGGGACCTTTCAGTCCGCAGACCGACGCTCTACCACTGAGCTAAACCAGCTTCGGCCCAAAAAGGTTTTTTAAAAAGCTGCCTTGGGTGCTGGAGGCTTGGGGTGCTGGTGGAGGGATTGAGCAAGAGAGAAAAGAAGCTGTCTTAGAATAGAAGTAATCCTGTTATCTGCAGATTTTTAATATTTCCTAAAACTTTTGTGGTGTTATGCTATGTTAGTACACTTTTGGTAATATTATTATATTTAAAATATTTTTCTCTTGAAATATTAATGTTTACTGAATATAATATTATACTTAAAATCATTTTTCTTGAAAATAAAAAAATAATAAATTTAAATAAAAAATAATTTTAAAAAAAGAAGCTGTCTTGCCCTAGCTAGTTTGGCACAGTGGATAGAGTATTGGCCTGCGGACTGAAGGATCCCGGGTTCAATTCCGATAAAGGGCACATGCTAGGACTGCGGGCTCGATCCCCAGTGGGGGTGTGCAGGAGGCAGCTGATCAATGATTCTCTCATCATTGATGTCTCTCTCTCTCCCTCTCCCTTCCTCTCTGAAATCAATAAAAATATATATTTTTTAAAAAGTGAACTCTATGTCCTCTCTTTAAAATAATTTTAAAAATTAAAATAAAAAAAGCTGTCTTTAGCATCCGTTTTGCATCAGTTTTAAACTTCCACAGCAGTATCTCATCTAGGCCTGCCAACTTTCTTTCCTTTATGCAATACTGATTACTAGGCTTTTTTTCTGGGAAGGAGGGGCAGTTAATACGAAAGACACACTTTTAATGTCTTTCCTAAGAAAACTTTAAAAAGGGGGTGGGGAATAAAGCAGGGTATTCCTTTGAAGAATAAGTGCTACAGAAGAAGAAAGAAAAAATTCTGCTTATAAATATTTTTTTCTCATAGAATGACTAAAATGTTGCCTTTACTGTCTAAAATAATTTCTAAAAGGAATCAAAACATTTATATATAAAGTATGCTCATTTTAAAAACTAAGAGCAAACAGTGTATCACAATGTAAAACATGTTATTTCTAGCTGTAGAGGCTAAAGCCACTCCCCAGCAAATCTACTCTTGACCCATCATGACTTTGGGAGCTAAACAAATTACACACAATTCATAAAGCATATTTCAGTATTATGAAAAGGTACTCAGTCTTCACCATGAATTTAACTAAAGGGTCTTACAAAATATGTTCTCATATACAAATAATATGCTAAACACAAATGACAAATAGAAAGAAAAGCCTTGAAAAATAAAATTCTCTTTTTCTTTTTCCTTCCTGGTATCAGAATTATAAACTCATTGTCAATCTTCCATCTTCAAAGTCTATGTTAGTATGTTAGAACAGGAAAAAAGTCTTCAAGAGACAAAAACAGCACAGACCAGTTTGGCTCAATGGATAAGAGCGTCAGCTTGGGGACTGAGGGGTCCCGGTTCGATTCCGGTCAAGGGCATGTACCTTGGTTGCGGGCATATCCCCAGTGGGGGGTGTGCAAGAGGCAACTGATTGATGACTCTCTCTCATCGATGTTTCTCTCTGTCTCTCTCCTGCCTCTCTGTACAAAATCAATAAAATATATTTTGGGGGGGGGGGGGGAGACAAAAACAGAATTAAAGAAGGAAAAATAAAAATAAGTCATTTATCTCTACACGAATTCTATATTTTAATTAGACATAACATAAACTTTACTATTTTAAAGATAAATCATCTTACCAGAATTTCTTGTTTTGCTTTTATAATTTTTATGACACATTCAAGGATCTTTCTGGGATACTGCTTACGTTTCGCGGCTAAGTCTACTATGATTTCATCAAAGTGATCTTCAAGCTCTTTGATATCAGAATCTATTTAAAGAAAAAAAAAACCTATCAAAAAATTCCTTAAGACACATTGTTTATATTCTACATAGAATGTAATGTAATTAAACTAAATTTAGAAAACACAAAATAATTAAGGAAAACAAACTTGGCAAGTTAGTGGATGCCCTCACTTTGGTGATTGATTCATTCATATATTGAACAATTGATTAGTCAGAGAAAGCTATTTTTTTAAAAAAATATTAAATACTAACTTCTATTTAATACTCTCACAGTTATAGGGAGGAAAGAGGCCCCGGCCAGTTAGCTCAGTGGTTAACGCATCATACCAATATGCCAAGGTTACAGTTCAATATCAGATCAAGGCACATACAATAAGCAACCAACGAATGTATAAATGCGTGGAGAAAAGAATCTATGTTTCTCTCTCTCTCCCTTCCTTTCTCTCTAAAATAAAGTTTTTAAAAGTTTTATTAAACACTAAAGGTCATCAGCTTAACTGGTCTTATAGCTTGTGTTCCACTGTGTCAAAGCTTCATTAGTGAGAAGTACCATACATATTTTTTGGAAACATTTTTAGACACTGCTGATATATATCAGCATATATTTACATGTTGGGTAGAGATAACTGAGGTGCAGTTTGGCCTTTCATTTATGTAACAAATATTAAGTCCAACTAAATTACTTATTTTGAAGGATATTAAGAGAGATACAGTCATTTCTAACTTTAAAAAGTCATTTAAACGAGCAATCTTCCCTAAATTTAAATTTATCCATTTGAAAAGTTCAATCAGTAACCTGAAAGAAAGAATGTACTATTTCACAATCAGCTAAAAAAAATCAAGTCTCCCAGCTAAATCTATATAGGGAAGAAACTGATTTCTTAGTGCCACCTAATGATAAAGCTATAAAAGTGAAATGTATAAACAATTTGAGCAGGGAAGTCATTAATTTAACAAATATTTAGTGGGTGCCTACTGTGTGTCGAGCTAAGTATTGAAAACATAGTAATGAGAAAGAAAATGTATAATCTCTGCTTTCAAGGAACTTACATTTTAATTTTTAAATGTGCCTGGTCAATCATCCTGAAATCAAATCCACTCAGGGTAGTTAAGGGGCAGAAAGGAAGTCGCTTTCACTTATATGTATATTCCTATATTCATTCATTTGTTTGTTCACTCTTTTACACAAAAATCTCAGTGAATAAAATAGACAAACACCTCTCCCCTTGTGAAGCTTACTTATTGCTTCTATGTATCAGGATCAGATACAAATCCTATTAATTCTACCTGCTGAACATCTCTTGTATCTTTTTCTCTCTCTCCTTTCCCAATGTCATGGGGCAGATCTTGTACTACTGCAATTACCTCCCTGAGGTCTGTCAGCCTTGAATTTTTCCCTTCTCCAATTCATCCCCACACAGAGCCAGCATTAGCTTTCCTGTAAGTTCTACTTTAAAAGCCTTCACCAGTTCCCCATTACCTACAAGGTAAAGTACAATTTCTTGAGCACATCCTAGAGGGCTCTCTGTGATCGGCCCCAACTTATTTTTCTGACCATATCTGCCATTAGTTTTCCCAATTCACTTCTGACATTTTCAAAACAAAGCAATCCTTTGTGCCTTTGCACATGCTGTTTCCTCTACTTGAAATGTCCTTCCTACTTCCTTTCTGTCTAGCACATTCTCATTACATGCATTTAACAACCTACTCTGTTATGTCTACTCCCACTTCCCAAAGAGTATACTGATTCCTTGTCCATTTCCTTCCATTAATGATGAGTTGCTAAATGGTAAGGACCACGTCCTTGCATTTATCTCCTGGCAGTTGGCATAGTGGCTGACATTTATCAAGTGCCCATGAAAAAAAAGTACAAGGGTTATGACTATTTTCCCTCACAGTTATGAGGGGGAAAGGAGACAAAGATACTCCACCCAGGTTACCAACCTGTCAGGGCATATACATGCTAATCTATAAACTGATTAATCCTATTGCTAAAGGCAGTCTGTGCCAATCAATAAAGCAACTCTAAAATGACCTTAGAGAAAAAGAGTCAGATAAAGACACAAGAAAGGCTGTATAGCTTGAACTTGTAGATGGTTCTGATGCACTCCCACTTCCCTACAATCACTCTATTAATATTTGAAAAATCCAGTGTTACTGTTTTTAATGTCTTAATACGTAAACCAGAAAAAATACAATTTGGTAACTCTGAGAAGATAACTACTACACAAGGATGTACAAAAGTGGGTTTATAGTTGTGAGTACACAAAACAGTTTATTCTTGTATTATTATTTATTGTTTGTTTGTATTAATATTACAACTGTAAACCTACTTTCGCCCATCCCTGTAATAATCCCAAGCATTGGACAGTAAAGTCTTCTGAGCAAAGTATTATCTCAACGTTGAGAAGAAAAATTACAACCACAGAGGGTTATTTGATGGGTTTGGAATCAGCTCACAGGTACTGGAGTAATCAGAAGAGCTAAAGCAGTATTAAACAATGCTCATCAGATCTCTATAATACCACTAAGGGGACAGACAAAACACGCTGGCCCACTTCTTCAAGACATTGCTGAAGAACTGTGCTTCTTTCCCCACACTGATCATTATTTTTCTACTGAATTTTTTCTTCCTACACTGAACATTTTCTTGCTACCAAAAACTTTGATTTCTTTAGATATGTCAATAACATTAGTTAGGGTACAATCAAGTCTGCTTTGGACCAGGAAATGTTCTGTCGTTTTAAGGAGGTTTCTCTAAATATTGATTTCATATTTGACACAGTATTCTTCTAGTTTAACTTCACATTCCTAAGGGTGTTTCACTGCCTAAGGATCACTTGTAAAAATACAACCTGATTCATAAGGTATTAATCATAGGAATTCTCTGGGCCTGTTTCTTCATCTGGGAATATTTTCCAATAAACTACTGACAAGGGTACTTTTAAAGATTGATCAGACGAAAGTCTTATTGAGAGTGCCAGACAGAAATATAAAGAAAAGGTACCTACTATGTTGTTTTCCTCAGAATACAACTTCAATAGTCTTCTAGATTAGTTTCCTCTCTCCCCTCCCAGTAAAATACATTTTAAAGAGAAGTAACACTGAAAATGAGAATTCAAAATAAAATAGCTACAAAAACAACTCAGAAATTAGCAACCGAAGGAGATAGTGAAATCACTTACCCCTGAAACAATCATCTGAAGCTTCTTGCCATGCCTGCCCATTAATGCTGACATTCTCTTGCACAGCAGATTCAAACGTCTGCAATAAATTCACAATAGTAATGTCACTAAAAACAAATTCAAATACTGAATTTAAACGTTTTGGCCAAGATAATCTGTTTTTTGTTAATCCTCACCAAGGATATTTTTTCCATTGATTTCTTGAGTAGGTGGGAAGTAAGTAGGTCTCATTGATGTGAGAGAGACACAATGGATTGGTTGCCTCCCAACTTGCCCCAAACCGGGGTGGGGACTACACCTGCAACCCAGGTACATGTCACCCTTGACTGGAATCAAACCTTTGACCTTGCAGGCCAACTAACCACTGAGCCATGCCTGTCAGGGCATAATTTCAGATTTGTGAAAGAGAATATTTAAAAAGTAGCAGATTAGCCTATTAGTATACTACTTTCAATTAAGATTCCATTGCAATTAATTCTATCTACATTTTCACTGACAGCCATTAATCTACCTGAGATAATTCAATCCAAAATTTAAGAATAATCTTTCAAACAAAAACATATACTTCTTAAATGAAAATTTTTTAAAAAAATAAAAGCTAACAAATTTGGACTCAGTTGAATCTCAAAAGTATATGTACTACACATGCTGTGAATGAAAGTCATTGTAAACAAGAAGAAAAATATATATGCTTAAAAGAAAGTGAAATTGTCTGCTTTATAAAGGACTGTATTTTTTAAAGAGATGTATACTGGGTGTAGGATGAAATCACATGACATCTTAAATTTGTATGAAAATAGGAAGTAACAAATTTTTGATAACTATTAAATTTGGTGATGGATATATGGGTATTCACTGTGCTAATCTATATTTTTGTAGGGGAAGGCAGGGAGGGTTGGTGGGTGGGAGGTAATCAATCAAAGACCTTGTATGCATATATGCATAACCATGGACACAGATGATAGGGTGCTGAAGACCTGGAACAGGGGGGGAGGTGGTGAGGGTGGGCTGGAGGGGGCCAATGTGGGAGGGGACATATGTATTACTTTCAACAATAAAGAATTATTTTTTTTAATGTTATTACATTAAAAAATAAAGGACTGCCCTGGCTGGTGATGTTCAATGGTTAGTGTCGGCCTGCAAATTTGAGGGGTCAGGGGTTCAATTCACTTCCCAGCCCTGTTCGGGGCACGTGCAGGAGGCAACCAATCAGTGTGTTTCTCTCACATCGATGTTTCTCTCTCTCTTTCTTGTGCCCCTCCCCTCCTTCCACTCTTTTTCAATGGCAAAAAATATCCTAGGATGAATATTAACAAAAAATAAAGGAATTTGGAAGCACCACTAAAATTCTGAATGCACATTCCCTATTATCTAACAACTAGAGGCCCAGTGCACGAAATGGAAGCATGGGTAGGATTTCCAGACCTAGCTGGCGATCAGAGCCGATCTGTGGGGCAATTGGGGGGGGCCCTGCTGGCACTCACCTTGGCCCGCCTGGGGCCTGAGGGCAGCTCCTGTGTTGAGCATCTGTCCCATGGTGATCAGTTACCAGTCGTTCTGCTGTTTGATCGATTTGCATATTAGAGTTTTATTATATAGGATGAGAATAAATAGCTCTTTACGTTAGGATACATTGCTACAAGTGAAATCCTAATATGCAAATCGACCCAATGGCTGAATGACAGGTCACTATGATGCACACTGACCACCAGGGGGCAGACACTCAATGCAGGAGCACAATGAGGGAGCCCTGCTCAGCCAGAAGCTGGGCTCACAGTTGGTGAATGCAGAGAGAGCCTTTCCCATCTCCTAGGGGTCCTGGACTGTGAGAGGTCACAGGCCCTGCTGAAAGAGTCCCCCTCCCCCCCCCCCCCGCCCAGTGCACAAATGTCATGCACCAGGCTTCTAGTAAGATCATAAAGAGGATGCACTAGTAATCCTTATTTTAACACTATTTGAAATTATAAAATACTGAGGAGAAAAATCACAAAATTTAAATTCAAAATTAGAAGAATGATTAAATATTCAATATATCCATACCATGCAATACTTAAAAAGAATGAAGGATATCTGTACATAATATTGACATATTGGATAAGAGAAAAAATGGGGAGAGCAGGTTGCTAAATACATCAGCATGACACTTAATGTTTAAAATGAAACAAAACAAAAAACAGAGAAAGTGAGAGAGATCTAAAATCATAAAGAAGGGTGAAGGATTATATTCTTTGTACCCTCCAAAATAGTAAGTTATTTCCAGGAAAGAAAGGGGATGGGGAAAGGAAATTCAAAGACTTTGCCTTATGCTATTTCTTTTTACAATGAGGATATATTTGATATTTTGTATAATTAAAAATAAGCATAAATCAAATAATGCATAGTTATAAAGTAAAGTACATATTTTACACTTTAAAATATTTACTTTATATGGGGCTTCAAGGATTACTTGGGAATACAAATTGCTGTTGGGAGCCATCAGAGTTGAGACTTACAACTCTGTCTTAAGGAAATAGAATTAAGTTCCTTCTAGCAGAAGTTAATGCGGTACCCTGAGGGTTTGGCCAGAAGATAAGATTAACCTGCTGCTTAGCATCTCTGCAACTTACCCTTCCTGATCCTCCCCCATAGATAGCCCAGCCTTGGAATGTTACACCTGGGATGTTCCGCTGCCCTGGCAGTTAGCCAATCCTCTGTTGCCAGATACTTTACCACCTTGCCACTCAGTGCCTAAACCAATTGTACACTGCCAAAGACCCCTCTGCATAGGCAACCCTGCCCCCCTTTGTTTCTGCTGTATATATACAGCCATTTCAAAGAATAAAGTGGAGGCTTGATCAGAGAACTTTGTCTTGCCTCCGTTCTTCGCTTTCCTTGTTTGTTCCATTCTCTTAGGTGGTTCCTTCGTACCCCCGTTGTTGCCCCGCAGGCCGGGACAAATTGCCATTGTGGCATTGGCACAATTGTACCAATGCTATTTTTTTAAGAAAATCTGTTACTATATTATGTAGTTTTAGATAGGGTTATGTCAACATAATAAAGCCTCTGCCTTTTATTTGTTCTCTTATTTAAAAGAAAACACAAGTCAATTTCCTTGGTAGTTTACCTTAGCAGTTCGTAGACAGGGGCAAACTCTTAAGATCATTACAAAACAAAACAGCATCCTTCCCAAAAAACTACTAAGAGTGTCTATTCTTTCCCTGGTTACAGGAGAGAATAAGAGCCACTGTTTATACAAAACTGGAATACAGCACAACCCAGGGAGTAAGCTAAGTATTTCTTCGTCTTCCATTTATCCTTTATTTTTATTGTTTGCATTGTGATCAGTCACACTCCCAGGTGTGCTGCATTTAAAAAATTGTTTCTACATAGAAAATGTGTGCTTTATTGTGACAGCCACCAATCCCTCAATTTGTTGTACCTTTCCCCTCAAAAAAAAAAAAAAAAATCTTCAAAGGTTTTACAAAACATTTGAGAAAGGAAGGGAAAATGTGCTCGAAAGGCCAGTTATGATCTTAGGAGACGTTTATAATCAAGACAGCTTCCTTATCTACTTCAGACTTATAGGGGAGATGTTTCCACTCTCTTTACAAGACATTCTTAAAGCAGGCGAAAGGAAAGACCAAAAGCTAATCCTGTTGCCCGACTGAACTTCCAGGATTCCGGTTCCTGGAGAAATCCTCCTGGAGTTTACGTGCATTCGAATAGGGAGCTACTTAGGCCTTCAATAGTGGCTAATCCGAAAGATGAGCTGTAAATTTCAGACACCAATTGGGAAAAGTTGGATACTAACAACAACAAAAAATGGCACTAAGCGATTTGGCTCAGTGGATAGAGCCACGGCCTGAGGTCTCAAAGATCCCAGGTTCGATTCCAATCAAGGGCATGTACCTTGGTTGCGGTCACATCCCCGGTAGGGGGTGTGCAGGAGGCAGCTGGTCGATGTTTCTCTCTATCCATTTCCCTTCCTCTCTGTTAAAAAAAAAAAAAAAAAAAAAAAAAAAAAAAAAAAAATCAATAAAATATATTTTTTAAAAGAATGTAAAATATCTCCTCCGGGTTTTTATTATTATCATTACAAAGTAAAACGCTACCTTGGTCACAATGGGCTAAGTAAAACCTGGTATTACCATTAATTGCCCCTGTCTTTTCTAACTTTTTGTAAGTGACCTACACAGCTCGCCTGTTCTTTCCCGTCGGACGGCGCTGGTAATGAGCACTGCCCGGCGGCCCCCTGATCTACTCCGTTCCCTCGCGTTCCCCGGGCTGCTTTTCCTGAGCGCGGGCACCGCTAACGCTGCCGAAGCCCTGCGACCGGGTAAGAAGAGGGTGAAACGACAAGTGCCGGCGTCTGGGCCCGTACCCACTGCGCGTCTCGCAGCGCGGGCTCCCGAACCTCCGCCGGCAGCGCGTCCCCGAGCTTTCGCACGAAGCGGCCGCACAGCTCCATCAGCTCCAGCACGGCCTGCTTGGAGGTGCAGCGCACGCGGAAGTCCTCCCGCGGGGTGATGGCGGGGCCCGCGGCGCGGCCTTCTGTCCCGGCCACGCTCTCCACGGCCCGCGGAAGCGAGAGGCTCCCCAACTCGGGAGCCCCCGCCATTTTCCCGGTTTGAACCGGGGGGCGGGAACTCTGGGAGCGGAAGTGAGTGCCACCGGAGGAAAGTGCCCGGATGCAGCGGCCGGAAACTCAGGCCGCCGCCGCAGGAAGGTTCCGGGCCGAGGCTGCGCGGGCCGATTCCAGGGCCCCGCAAGCCGCGGCGATGGGGGCGGTGGGCGGAGGGCTGGTGGACTGCCACTGCCACCTTTCCGCCCCGGACTTCGACCACGTGCGTGAGGGCGAGGCCGGGCCGTGGGAGCGGGGAGATCCCCCGTCCCCTGCCCCCGTACTTGTCTGGGCTGTCTTTGCTCTCGTTTCTTAGGACGGAGCCCCAGACTCACACCCAGGCCGGGCTGTGGCCGGTGCGACCTGCTTCTGGCTCCCTAGTTATTAACCGCAGTCTACTGATCTTTCTTTCCGATCCCGAATAGCCGAAGCCCCGTGTCTCCTTTTCCACTGGCTGTTGCCGGTTACCGGAGTTCTTACCCCTCCCTACCTGCGCTGGGCCCGGCTGAGAATCCACTTTCCCCAACATGTTTCTGATCCCATGCAAACAGAAAGAACATCACACACAAAGATGTTACAAAGTGTAACATCTTTGTGTGTGATGTTACACTTTGTAACATCTGTGTGTGATGTTCAGAGTTACAAAGTGTCTTTTTTGTGTGTGTGGAATATTTTTATTATTTTTCATTTTTTTTAATTAAGGTATTATATGTGTACATATCTTACAAAGTGTCTTACCCGCTATATTGGAAACCAGAGGCTTATAATAGAGAAGGAAGAGCGGTGTCTATTTGGCGGGGTAGACGGGGAGCCAAACAGAAGATGGATGTAGGATGACCGCTGGCAGGTTGACCTGGCACATTCATGCTACCAAATGCTGGAAGGAGGGGGGTGAGGGAGGCTGGAGAGAGAGAGAGAGAGAGAGAGAGAGAGAGAGAGAGAGAGAGAGAGAGAGAGAGAGAGGTGAAACAAGACTGAAGAGGTTTGCAGGGATAGGTGTGATAAGTCAGTAAAGAGTTTGGGGTTCATTAAAACAATGCGAATCTTGTCTTTTTTTTTTTTTTTTTTTTTTTTTTTTTTTTTTTTTTTTAAGAGAATGACAAGATCTAAATGACAAGATTTAAAAACTTTTGCTGATGTGTGGCAAACAGAGGAGAGGGAGGATGGAAGCCAGAAGAGCCATTTGGGAGCTTTTGCTGTATGTAGATAAGAGGTGATGGTGGTTGCAGGGGAGTTTGAGAGAAGCAGATGTATTGAAAGTGTGTTTTAGAAATAGGACCTATGTGCTGGTGAATTGTGTGTGGAGAGGGAGGGAAAGAGAGGATTTGATGCTGCAGGGAGGACTGTAGTACTCCTACAGATGGAGTACTGATGAGCTGTTGACTGAGCTGAGAAGACAGATTGTGGAGGGAAGGCTGAAGAAAGAGGTTTGTTAGGGAGAACATAGAGTTAGTTTATATTGAAGCCTAAGATCCAGCCAGGTGGAGAGGTCATATTGTCATTCTTTTTCTTAAAAAAAAAAAAAAATGTTTGTTTTTTATATTTTTCTTTATAGTCATTCTTAAATGTGAATCTTGAGTTTTAGAAAGAATTATAGGCTGACAATAACAACTGGTGACTCATTAGCATAGTAATGAATGGCATGTAAACCCATGGGTAAGATCACTTCGGGTGAATACAGAGAGAGGCACAGAGGGTCCTGAAATAAGATAGAGGAGAAAGAGCCAGTCAAGAAGAGGGAAAAGTAGCAGCCAGTAAAAGAGTGGCATTTGCAGATGAGTGGTGTTGCAGAAGCCAAGAGTGAAAAATATCTCAGGAAGGGAGGGGTGGATAAGTGAGGAACTCCTAAATGCTACTGAGAGGTAAGTGAGATATGGAGAAGTGCCCTCCACAGTTGACAATAACAGTTTCCGTGTTAGTGGAGTGGGAACAGATGCCAAATGTCACTAAGAAAAAGAAAGAGGAAATGAAAGGTGGGTCAGTCAGTGTAGGTTCTTCACATTCCACCACACTGTTCCTTGCCATCGTTGTCATTCTTTAAGGTGCCTCCACTAAAGTGATAAACACAGCCAAAGAGCAGCTACTTATTCATCTAAAATAACTGGTAACTTGTGCTTGTTTTAGGATCTGGATGATGTGTTGGAGAAAGCCAAGAAAGTAAGTCAGTACCTATAATTGCCCTTTTATTTTTGTTTTTGTTCTAGATATGCTATATTGATGCTTCCATAGTAATAAGTTGCATTTATTAGGGGTTTACTGTGTGACAAGTACTGACCTAAGCCTTTTCTGTACATTATTTCATTTTATGTTTCACAACAACCTTTGAGGAAGCTTCTATTTTTTAGCCAACTATTTATTGCCCATTTTGTAGACAAGGATACTAAGGCCTACAGACTAACTTGTCCCAAAACATACCGCTAGTGAAATGATACAGACAGGATAGTCTGGATCGAAACATGTTTCCCCAGCTATCACACTTACCAGCAATATAGAACAGATGACCCATCTGTTGGTTCTAAAATTAACATTATCCTGGGGATTTTGGAGAAATTATAAAAGTTTTGGGAACCATTTTGATATGTTTGAGAAAAATTATTAATTTTTGGAAGTGTTTATAAAATTCATTATCACTGGCATTTCATGGTCTTCCCCCAAAGTGTTAGTTTAGAAGTAGCTGTCAGTGTATTTTTATATTCAACCCTCTTTCACTATGACATTAATTAGGAGTATGGGCTTTGGAGTTACACAGACCTAATGATCTTGGGCAAATAATTTCACTCCATCCAGAATTCTGTCTCCTGGCTTATATAGGGATTACAGCAATGCCACCTCATAAGGTTGTATAGATTAAACTAAGGTAATTTTATGTTCACTGAACACAGTGCCTGAAACATAGTACTCAGTGATAGCCATTATTATTGTACCGATGGAGTATTGATGAGCAAGAAAAACTAAAATCACAGAAAACTTTATAATTTTATTTAATTATATTGGATGTTCTATTGCTCGAGAGTAGCTATTCTATTCTGTTCTTTTTTGCTTCAGGCCAATGTTATGGCTCTTGTGGTGGTCGCTGAACATTCAGGAGAATTTGAAAAGATTATGCAGCTTTCAGAAAGGTGAGACTTCTCATTAAGAACTTAAAGAGTTGCTAATAAGGATATAGCTATGATTTTATGTTCATAATATCAGATTATCAGTTTTTAAAGAGAATAGGAAGAAAAATATTAATATAGCCCTAACAATTATTTCCTACTTATCCTTTAGAGTAACTTTGTCTGCTAGTCTCATACTCGGTTTCTCAATTCATTCTACACTGTTAGGTATAACGGGTTTGTCCTGCCATGCTTGGGTGTTCATCCAGTTCAAGGACTTTCACCAGAGGACCAAAGAAGTGTCACATTAAAGGTAACAGTAACAGATAAAACAAGGACCGTAGAACATGATGATACCTTTGACTTGGTAATCCTTCACTTTATAGTGCAAGGCAATAATCTAAAAGAAGGCAATGCTACCTTCTTTCCCAGAGATGTTTGTGGCAGAATGATTTGTAATAGAGAGAAAGGGGGAACAGCCTAACGGTTCAGAAATAAATAATTAGTTAGCTTGTAGAGTATTAAATATAATGCATTTATTAAAAATGAAGACTATACTATTTATGTAGTAACATGGAAAATGTTTGCAGTATAATATATGGAGAAAAGCAGGATACAGATGGTTTATTCACAATGAGTGACATCATGTAAAAATATATACTATAAACAAAAGACAATAACGAAAAACAGAAATGATAGTAGTTGTGACAATCTTACAGAATTACATGTGATTTGTTTTTACTCTTTTTTTTTTTTTTTCCATCATATTGTTATATTGATTTGGCAGCAAGGTGATAAAGTATCCAGAGAAAGAAAGATACAAATTCACAGATGCACTACTGTTAGGGAACACTGGAGCTTAAGGACACAGTATCTTTGAACATGAACCCATCCCTATAGGAGTGCTCTTGATCTAATACTAAACTGCATGGCTTTCTCTAAAAAAGATCCTACCCGTGAGCTAGCACTGACTCACCATAGCCAACATGTCTGATATTTCAGACTCGACTCCTGACTCAGCATTGGGGAGATGCACAGTTTTTTGAGTGCTTTATTACATATTGGGATCAACAGCCCCATTTTGAAGGAGTGAAGACTTTGTGTTACCTGTGAGTAAAGTGATGAGGTCCATTCTTTTTTTTGTAATAATGAATCTGTATCCCTTCATTTGAATACCAAAGATGCTCTACTTAATTTTGCAACAAAATTACGTTGTTTGCAACAAAATTACATTGAATTCACTTCATGTAAAAATAAATACTTATTCTGTAACTCTCCTGAGTTGTTGATGTGATAAAATTTCCCCAGAGAGTTACAATTCTGAAAATGTTGGGGATCATAGCAGAATGGCATTTGTTTCAATAGGCATTCATTTAGTTGTCAATCTAGTGTTTACTGAGCTCCCACTCAAGCACTTTAGAGTAATATCCCTCTCATGAAAGTAGATTCTAAGTGGAGGCAGACAATCAATTAGATATATGAACAAGAAAACTTTTGGTAGCGCTAAGTGCTTTAAAGACAATAAAATAAGATTGCATAATAATTGTGGATGATAGTTTTTGGATTGTGTAGTCAAGGAAGCACTGTCTGAGGTAGTGACATTTGAACTGCAACCTGAATTATCCTCAGAGGCACCTTGCAACTTACATATCCTGAGACTACAATCTTCAAAATCTTTTAAAAGAAGCAAATTTTCTACATATTTGCCTTTCCCTTATCTGACAAGGGAAACCTCAGAGGGCAAATTCTCTAAGTGTAATAGTAATATTGTGGAAACTAATGGTACACAGTTACTTCAATGACTAAGACAAACAAAGACTTAGTGTTTATATTGTTGAACCTGTAGAACAAAAATAGGCTAAGCAAGATTATGAAGACAAAAGAAATCAGTACAGAGAACACAAAGAGTGTATGGGATTATCGCTATTACAAACTCACAAACCAATGATAACCTAAAAGGAGAACATAACATAATGCGCTTCCCAAAACTCACTTACAAAGGTGGCTTTCTTCTCTCCAGGAATTCCAGCTATTCCAGGAAATCAGATCAGTCCTAAATGCCAGGAAATGCCACCTAAACAGAAGGAAGTGTTTAAGTGTGCATCTTTATAAACAATTTCATTCCTGTGACCTGAATGCGTTATAGGATCCTACCCAGAGAGAAGTGCTCACAGTGCTAGGATTACTATTCCTAGTTCCTCACTGGTTAAAGGAACAGAATATATGTAAAGGACCAATACAGCATAGTGCCTGGCCTTTAATAGGTGTTTATAAAATATCCATTTCGTTCTCCTGTTTTAACAAATATACTTTGTTTTCTCCCAGGATTTGGATGTAGCTTTGCCCATTATCGAGAATTATAAGGATCGATTATTGGCAATTGGAGAGGTAAACACCAGTTAACTGATCAAATGACTTCTAATTCAGACCTTCATGTGATATATGAAAAGAACCCTTAATTTGATATTGGTGACTATAACTGACTTGGATAATCATGTTCACTCCATCCAGCTGAATAATAACTGGTCCAGATTGAGATGTGCTCTTAGTATAAAACTCACAGAGGATTTCAAAGTCTTAGCACCCCAAAGAGATCATGTAAAACAACTCAATAATTTTTATATTAATCATGTGTTGAAATAATGCATTACTATATAATAATGATATGTTTGAGGTATACTGGATTAAATAAAGTCTATTATCAAAATTAATTTCACCCATTTCTTGTTAGTGTCTCTAATGTGGCTGACTAGAAAATGTAAAGTTATGTATGTGGCTTGCACATATGGCTCCCATTATCTTTCTCTTGGACAGGACTGCTCCATAATATGACTTTTTGGATTCATTAAACCATGACAAATGTAATTCTGTTTGACTTTTCTGTTGTAGGTGGGACTGGATTTCTCCCCCAGGTTTGCTCGCACTGATGAACAAAAGGAAGAGCAAAGACAAGTCCTCATCAGACAGATCCAGTTAGCCAAAAGACTAAATTTGCCTTTGTAGGTTAATTAACCGTCTCTCTATGTGCATATCTATAGAGCCAATTAAAATGATTCTTTTGAAATGGAGCTCTGGATTTCTTTTCCTCTTAATTACTTTAATAGGACAAAATAATGTTACATTAAGTTCTTAAAAGGAATTTTTTTGTTGTTAAACAGAAATGTTCACTCACGTTCAGCTGGGAGACCCACCATCAGCCTCTTAAATGAGCAAGGTATTTAGGTTCCTGAGACAATGTGCCTAATGTTTACGTTTGGTAATTCCAGTCCATCTTCTCATAGAACAGGCCATGTTTTAATATGATTTCTTAAATGGCAGAAGATGGGGGATGCAGGAGGGGGAGAAAAGGGAAGTCAACTAAAGTGCTTTTACAAGTCAGTTTACTTTTACAAGATTTTCAGTGTGATTGTGATATTTATTATAAACGATATAATCATTTGCCGGGGTAAAACAAATGAAAAATTGGATCAAGTAATTTATAGTCCTAAAATAAAAACATATCTTATAGCATTACCTTTCAAATTTTTTGAAGTGATACTAATATATACACAAATATACTTTTTTTGATGTTAAAAATATATATGTGTATACACTGGTCAGTCTTGACCCACTAAATTGATTTCATAACTCACTTGTGGTTATAACCCACTAATGGTCACTCCTGCCATTCGAAAAACAGTACGAAATAGTGAAGTAAATGTACTTGCCTATGTCTAGAAAGCATGGTATTCCCAGTGAGGAGTGCTGAACCTTTTGGGGTCTCTGAGAGCATGATTTTTACGCAGGCTGAGCAGCCATCCTTTAAGAATTAGGGGCGATTTTATGAAGCTAATGCTGACTAGTCAATTTGTGACTCATTTAGCTCCCCTTTTCCTCTTCCACTAGCATTCTTGCTAAGGACTATTTGACTGTTTAAAAAACTCCTATTAGGAACGATAATCCGACAGCTCACAAACTTCTGAAAAATGTTTGGTGGTATAGGAAGATTAAATAATTGTTTAAAATTTAAATTGTGTTTAATAATTTTATTCTGAAAGTGAAGAATGTATTATATTTTTATTCTACTGTTTAAACACTGTATATACATTTATCCCTCCTTCAGAAGTCATAGGACCTCAAACTCATATCATAGTGACCAAATTCCTGATCTTTACTATTCAATTTGATTAATGGAAAAACCTCTCATTGAGGAAATAAATTGGAATTCTGATTTACCTTTTATTTTTTGGGAGGTGCTGACAAAGTGCTGCTCCATGCATTTGACGGTCGGCCATCTGTAGCCATGGAAGGAGTAAAAGCTGGGTACTTCTTCTCAATCCCTCCTTCTATCACAAGGAGTGGACAGGTAAACTCTTTCATTGAACTTCAACCTATATTTTGTGAAATACACTTTAAAATAAGAGCTTTTATATTTTATATGTAATATAAAATATAAAAGCTCTTATTTTATATATGATATATTTTTATATATGATATATATTTTATATGTAATATTTATATATAACACTGTGATGTTACCTAGTTACATTATAAAAATCAATCTTAGATCCCTACCTTATGTCAATATCATATTATCATTACATTAGATTTATAATAAGTTTTAAAAACAGATAATATGAGAATTCTAATTATTTATTTTCAAGATCATTTTGGCTATTCTAAGTCCCTTGCTTGTCCATCTACATTAGAATCAGCTTGATTTCTTAAAAAAAAAAAAAAAGCTAGCTGGGATTTTTATTGGAATTACATTGAATCTATAGATCAATTTGGGAATAATTGATATGGATACACTATACCTCTGTATTTAGATCTTTGATTTCTCACATCAATGTTTTATAATTTTCAGCATTCAAATCCTGCACATATTTTGTTATATTTATCTCTAAGTATGTCATATTTTTCATTCTATTTTAAAAGGTATTGGTTTTAAAATTTTAGTTATCAATTATTCATTGCTAGTATATAGAAATACAGTGTATTTTTATACATTAAACTTTTATCAAGTGATCTTGCTGATTATTCATTAGTGCTGGTAGTGTTTTGCAGATTTTTCAGGATTTTTTTGTAGCTAATCATGTCATTTTTGAATATATTTACTTTTCCCTTCCCATATTTGTGTCCTTTATTTCTTTCTCTTGCCTTATTTCACTGGATACAACTAGTAGACTGTTGAATAGAAGTACAAGCAGAAACCCTTGCCTTTTTCCTGATCATGGGAAAACATTCATTCCTTTACCATTAAGTATAATATCAGCTGCAGGTTTCTTACAGGGTTTAAGGAAGTTCCTTCTGTTTTGTAGTCTGATGAGTGTTTTTATCAAAAATGGATATTGGATTATGTCAAATACTTTTTTGACAGTATATTATCCTTTTTATAGTTTCTTAGGTAGAACCTTAGATTACTTGAAACCTTCCTTGTTTTCAAATATAGATATTTTATGCAATAGTTGCATTAGCACTATCCACATATAATTACAACCCACAAATATTAGATTGTTATAATGAGGCTGTGTTCTTTTATAAGTATGGATATGGCAATAGGTTTATTTGTGATCTTTGCTATATTTTCACTTTCTTTCAATTCAAAATGTTTTCTAATTTACTTTGAGACTTCCTCTTCGACCATCGTGACTATATAAAAGTGTATTATTAATTTCCAAATACTTAGGAATTTTCCTGATATCTTTCCATTACTGATATTTACTTTACTTTGACTGTGTTCAGGAAACATTCATTGTATGATTTCACCTCTTTTAAATTGATTGAGTTTGTTTAATGGCCCAGAATATGATCTATCTGTTAGTAATAGAATGAGAACATAGAGAATATGTATCAATTGACTATTGAAGCTTGAATTTTAAGCTCCTGCAGAGTAGAATGCATTGGCATGTGGGTTTAATGTTCTTTTAAAAAAATTCTTTATTACTTCTGTTTTAAACTTACTAGCTTTTTCTTTCCTTTAAGAAGCAGAAACTTGTGAAACAGTTGCCTTTAACCTCCATTTGCCTGGAAACAGATTCACCTGCACTAGGACCAGAAAAACAGGTAAGTCATTTTCTGTTTTCCACATGATTTAGATCAAGCACGTAAAACTCGCAGCCAGCGGGCCACATGCCTCGGCCTGCCTTCTGCCCACCAGCTGCGAATTTGACATGCTTGATTTAGTTTGCATCTTCCATTTGAGCTATTTTTAATTTATCTATGTTTCTCATCACAATGTAAGTACAATGGAATCCTATTTTAACTCTAGGTCAAGAGGTTATATCAACTTAGTTTCAGGTCTTTTCTAAATGTAATTGTTTTGCCCCAAAGAATGTTATTTGATATACCATGTCCTCACCTATGTGATAATGAAAGCCAGACCAGTATAGCAAAAAGCTCAATGTCAAGAGTCAGAAAGACCTGGATTCAAATCCTGGCTCTGCTACCCACTAACTGTTTGACTTTGAGCAAGTTATTAATGTCTCTGAAATGTTCTTCACTTATAAAATGTGGAGCAAAATAGTAAATACTTTGAAGTATTATAGTGAGAATTAAATGGAATAATGTATTTAGCAGTATCTGGTATATAGTAAGATGCTCAATAAATGTTTATAACAATCTTTTAATTAGATTGTTATAATGAGGCTCTATTTATTTCCGTGTAAGTAAAATGAGTGATAATATTCCAGTGTGTGAATCTACCATAGTATATTTAACTTGATAGTGTGATTTGGGTAGTTTTCAACATAATGATATCTGATGAATGTTATCAAGTTATTTTTCTTAAATTTAATAGATACCTTATTCTATTCAATATTGTCATCTTACATAGATAACTTAATAACAATAATACATCTCACCAAATCTAAATGATTGTAGATGCACCACTGTTTTTTGACCATTAGAATGAAAAACAAAAACAAAAAAACAGCCCTAACTGGTTTGGCTCAATAGATAGAGCATCGGCCTGCGGACTCAAAGGTCCCAGGTTCAATTCCAGTCAAGAGCATGTACCTTGGTTGTGGGCACAACCCATGGGGAGTGTGCAGGAGACAGCTGATTGATGTTTCTCTCTCATTGATGTTTCTAACTCTCTATCCTTCTTCCTTCCTTCCTCTCTGTAAAAATAAATTAATTAAATAAAAATAAAATATATATTTTTAAAAACACCTGCCAGTTATACAATGAGATGTCATTGAATCTAAGTAAAATATGTATCAATTTCAGAGATGTTAAAATAGGGGAGACGGAAATACATCTTAGACTCAGTGAAGTACTAGTACATATCTGTTTAGCCTTCCAGATATGTACTGGTACTTCTTGAATGTGTACGATGACATTTCTTGAATCAAACTGTAATGTATGTAGCCTGTGAGGTGAAGAGGCCAAGGAGTAGAACAGTGACCTTTACAGTGACTCGGCTAAGCACTAAACCAAAGGACAGCTAACCCATCAGTCATGCAGGTTGCCAAGTGTCCACTGTTTGCAGACTGCTAGATGCTGGGACCTCAACTGTTAATACCCCACGGCTCTTTTCAAGAGCAACACAGACTTACAGTCAGTGTGTAGCTCTAGCTTTTAAGCTGAAGTTCAAAACTTTCTCCCCTTACTGCCTCCCACTATTCCCCCATCTCCATTAAAAAAAGAACTCATTATCTGTGTTTACTAACTCATTTTCTTCCATTTTATCTACAGTCTTCAAGGATTGCTTTTTTGGATAGTCATGTTTGATTTAATGTCTGCTTTGTTCTCTTTCAGGTACGGAATGAACCCCAGAACATTACCATCTCAGCAGAATATATTGCCCAGGTGAAAGGAATCTCAGTGGAAGAAGTTATGGAAGTGACAACACAGAATGCATTGAAATTGTTCCCCAAGCTCCAGCACCTGCTCCGTAAATAACTTCAAAGCCGAATGAACTGAAGGGGGCAGCATTTGAGAAAAAGAAATGTTCTGGTCCTAGCTGGTTTGGCTCAATGGATAGAGTGTCGGCCTGCAGACTGAAGGGTTCAATTCCTGTCAAGGCCTTATGCACGGGTTACAGGCTTGATCCCCAGTAGGGGACATGCAGGAGGCAGCCAATCTGGATCTTTCTCATCATTGATGTTTCTATCACTCTCCTCCTCTCCCTTCCTCTTTGAAATCAATAAAATGTATCTTTAAAAAAGAAATGTTCTGATTACTAGTCTGAACTGAAGAAACCATTTTATAGGGATAAAGAAGATTATCATTTTAGAGAAATATTTGTCATTTGTTATTGTTAATCCTCACCCAAAGATAGTTTTCCATTGATTTTTATTTTATTTTATTTTTTTAATATATATTTTATTGATTTTGTAGAGAGGAAGGGAGAGAGATAAAGAATTAGAAACATCGATGAGAGAGAGTCATCGATCAGCTGCCTCTTGCATACCCCCCACTGGGGATATGCTGGCAACCAAGGTACATGCCCTTGACCGGAATCGAGCCCGGACCCTTCAGTCCGCAAGCCGACGCTCTATCCATTGAGCCAAACCGGTCTCGGCTTCCATTGATTTTTAGAGAGAGTGAAAGGGAGAGGGAGAGACAGAAGCCTCGATGTGAGAGAGACACATTGATTGGTTGCCTCCAGCAATCTCCCCAGCCAGGGCTAGGGATGGAGCCTACAACTGTGTCCTTGACCAGAATCAAACCCGGACCCTTCAGTCCATATACCGACCCTCTATCCACTGAGCCAAACTGGTCAGAGCGAAAAATATTTGTCTCGGAAATAAAACTGAACTTGGAACCTGAAACCATGGGTTCTAATTCTACCTTGCACTGCTTTTCGAGTAATGGAGTCCTAGCAGGACATTGGGAATCACTGCTGCTTCTTACCTAGCTCCACAGGAACTGAACCACCATATGAACTGAAACCATTTTTTTTTCTGGCAAGGGTGGGTCCCATGGGTAATCATTTTCTAGTCTTTCTTGAAACCAGGGAACCCATAATATGACCCACCCTGGGGTTTTGTTGTGTGTGTGTTGTTTGTGTTTTTGTGTGTGTGTGTGTGTGTCTGTGTGTGTGTGTGTGTGTGACTATATTTTATTGATTTTTTTTTTTTTTTACAGAGATGAAGAGAGAGGGATAGAGAGTTAGAAACATCGATGGGAGAGAAACATCGATCAGCTGCCTCCTACATACCTCCTACTAGGAACGTGCCCAAAACCAAGGTACGTGCCCTTGACTGGAATTGAACCTGGGACCTATCAGTGCGCAGGCCGACGCTCTATCCACTGAGCCAAACCAGTTAGGGCTCACCCTAGATTTTGAATGAAGTGAGTCACATGAAGCAGCCAGGACTGAGGGTGGCAGTATGGCAGCTTGGTGAGGCTGGCGTTGTTAGCTGCAGGGTCTGTGCCCACAGGCTGTGTTAGTAGAGCCTTTATGCTTCTAGTTCAGTGGTATGAATTGTTTTTTCCACTCTCCTGGAGATTTTACAAACTATCCATTACCCTTCAGTAAATTTGTTTTTTTAATTAGCCAAATTTAGCCCTGACTGGTTTGGCTCAGTTGACAGAGTGTCAGCCTGCGGACTGAAGGGTCCCAGGTTCGATTCTGGTCAAGGACATGTACCCAGTAGGGGATGTGCAGGAGGCAGCTGATTGATGTTTCTCTCTCATTGATGTTTCTAATTATCCCTTTCCTTTCCTCTCTGTAAAAAAAATCCATAAAATATATATTTTAAATAATTAGCTACGTTTAGTTTCTGTTGCTTGTATCTTTAAGAACCCTGCTTGATGAGGAAATTCATACCCTGACATAGTTATCACAAAGAGATCATTAGGGAAAAGAAGAAAAGGAGGAAAGAAGAGAAGGAAATCTGAGATTCATTATAGTGCCTGGAGCACTTTCCAGGAAGCAAAATACTGGTTAATTTTAAGGGATAAGATACTGCCAGTCCATAGCAGATGGTGACCAATGTTGTGAAAGCATGTTAGAAAGATATTCTGTGGCAGAAGGATATGTGTTGATTTGGGGACAGCCCAAAGTGTACACTGAATTGAACATTATTATTCTTTTTCTTCACTTTTTCTGTATTTGTGGAACCTTTTACCTTATGAGGCAGAGCTCATCTTCCACTGTGCCTGGCCCTTCCCTTTGGACACATCTTCCATGCCAGCAAAGAAATGCAGCTTCCACCAAAACTGGTTTGGCTTAGTGGGTAGAGCATTGGCCTGCGGACTGAAAGGTCCAGGCAAGGACATGTACCTTGGTTGCGGGCACATACCCAATGGGGGTGTGCAAGAGATAGCTGATAGATGTTTCTCTCCCATCAATGTTTCTAGCCCTCTATCCCTCTCTCTTCCTCTGTGTAAAAAATCAATAATATATATATATATATATATATATATATATATATATATATATATATATATATATTCAGCTTCCCCCGCCCTGGCCTGCAAGACACTCTCCAAGGAAGAGGCATTGGGTGCTGGTAGCTTCAGCGGCAATGGCAGGCCATGCCTTAGCCTCTCTAAATACCAGGGATGCCGCAGAGGACCTTTCTGCACAGGCATTGGTGGCCTTGACTTGGGAACTCACAGCAGACAGCTCTGCAGGGGGGCTGAGGAACAATGGAGGGAAATGCTTGTCAGCCCATCCCCCTATGTCTACTGAGGGAACAGATGCATCCAAATTTGAAACACACCTGGGAGGGGTGGAGAGGTGTCTGGACTTAACTATAATTTCAGGTAGGGTCAGAGTCCAAAATTGATAGTTTTGTGACTAATTTTCTGTTTTTAGGCTGAGGTTGTTATGAGTAGTATAGAGGGGACAAAGTAGAAACACGTAAGTGGGAGGCGGAGGGAGAGCTTCCGTGAGAAGGTGGTATTTAAACGAAAGTTAGCCAGGTGAAGGGGGGGCAGAGAACCACAAGTAGTTCCATAAAACCAGAGGTGCATGAGGGAAGAGGCAGAAGAGGACGATAGAGAATTAAGATTAGAAGGTTGTTAAGTGTATTATACATAACCTGACACTCATTTACTTTGTATTTATTCACTGATTCATCTTAGAACGAACCAAAGACATGATGCTGTGTTTGATAGTCTTTACGTGGGCTGCTAAGTGTTGGGAGATAATTCTCCATAGGTCTCACATTTCTGTGTGTCCCTGGGGCAGAGACACTGACAGCTTTTGTTCCATTATCTTCAGTTGAGAGAGAGAGAGAGAGAGAGAGAGAGAGAGAGAGAGAGAGAGAGAGAGAGAGACATCAATTTATGGTTCCACTTATTTATGTACTCATTGGTTGATTCTTGCATGTGTTCTAACCAGGGATCAGACCCAAAACCTTGATCTATCAGGATGAAGCTCTAACCAACTGAACTACCAGCCAGGACCCAGATGATCTCTTCAAGGATGTTTATATAGCCAAGGGCTTTGGAAGACAGATAATGTCTTCCACTGAAGCAGAGGGCAAGTTTATTTATTCTACAATATAATAAAGAGCATCTATCCCTCCAGTCAAAAGTTGGGTTTCTTTCTTTCTTTTTTATTTTTTATTTTATTTTTATTTTTTGTTAATTCTCACCTAAGGATATTTTTTCCATTGATTTTTTTTTTTTTTTTTTTTTTTTAGAGATAATATGAGGAAGGGGGAAAGAGAACAAGACAGGAAGACAGAGAGATGTGAGAGAGACACATCGATTGGTTGCCTCTGGCATGTACTCCAACAGGGGTGCTGGTGATCGAACCTGCAACACAGGTATATGCCCTTGATTGGGACTTGGACCTGAGACCCTTCAAGGAATAGGCTGATGCTCTAATCATTGAGAAACACCAGCCAGGACAAAGGTTGGGTTTCCAAAGCGCAGAGACTTTCAGCTGTGAAGCCTCTGTGTGTATGGCATCTGTCTGGATGACTTCACATTATTTGGGGCCGGTTGGGGGTGGAGGTGGGCAGAGGGTACCAATCAGAACATGAGACTTGTGCTGCTTGCTGTTGTGGAAGAAAGGGCCACATGCTAACTGGACAAGCTCAGGGGAGGCCTGTATTGCAGTCTTGCAAATTCAGAGACCTAAAGTAACCACAAAGGATGGCCTGAAATTAAACTTTGACTAAAAGCAGTTATGGTGGGTAGTTACATCCTAGGCCTGTATCTTCACTGATATGGTCAACCTTTACCTTAACCGAGCCTATCTGTCTTTTGCATCTATGATAATATACTCTGGAATGTCTGGGTAAATTGTACCTTTCCTTTTTCCGGATCCCTTGGGGCACAACCAAATGTGGAGGGTGCCAGGACAGATGCCACAAATTCCTTCATTGTTATTGTTTTCATGTTAATTGTTGACTGTTAATTATCCTGCACCCACATAAATATGTGTCCATCATTTTACTTTTTATCCAGTCCCAGAGGTCCATCACTCCCCTTTGCTTTCTCCCGCCTCTATAACCTACCACCAATGGATTTCATGTAACCCACCTAAGTCCTCTCCTTTGATTGCAATGTATAAAAATAGATTTAAAAACCACCATTCTCTAGAGCATTATCCCAATCCAGCAATTGTCGACAGTTTGGCTCAAATTAATTCACAAAAATTCTTTGCAGATTTTTATGTTAACACTGTGCTTTGAGCAATAAAGTCCTTTGCCTCTGGACCAAGATTCTTCTATCTTCTGTCACTAATGCCTGTGAAACTGTGGCAGACTAACCCTTCATAGCTCTTAACACTGGAAGGCCGAAACCGGTTTGGCTCAGCGGAAGAGCATCGGTCTGCGGACTGAAGGGTCCCAGGTTCGATTCCGGTCAGGGGCATGTACGTTGGTTGCGGGCACATCCCCGGTAGGGGGTGTGCAGAAGGCAGCTGGTCGATGTCTCTCTCTCATCGACGTTTCTAGCTCTCTATATCTCTCCTTTCCTCTCTGTAAGAAAAATCAATAAAATATATATATATATAAAACAAAACAAAACAAAACAAAAAAAACACTGGAAGGTGTTTTTTGTTTGTTTGTTTGTTGTGTGTGTGTGTGTGTGTGTGTGTGTGTGTGTGTGTGTTTTATTTTTTGTTTTTTTGTGGGGATTTTTTGAGAAGCAAAAAATTAGCTTTGGGCCTCACTTTTTAATATATACTCTCAGGGTCAATGAATCTTACCCCACTGTGCCCTGGTGCAGTCCTAGCTGAGATATGGTTTTAGGCCAATTGACTGATACATATCCTTCCCGATATTAATATTCTTTGGCTTGTGAATCTGAGCTTTCTATGGAGGGAAATGGCAACCAAACAAAAGGTGAATATTTCACTGATATAAATACAAATGCAAAGCAGCACCTGGGTTCCAAGCCAAGCAGTACCCAGCTTGCCATACGGAATAACAGGCTATTGGCTCAAACTGCAAAAAAGAACCCAACACCACCTCTAAATCTGAAAATTAGTCTGCTAATTTCCAAGAAGGAATGACACACAGGTAATTCTAGCAATGCTCACTTTGGGGATGGACAATAAAATAAAACAAAAAGCTCCACCTTGTTAATCTCTCAAGTAGGTACTTAGTCAAATTACCAAAATCCTAGCTCTGAGTTCATGCAGTTCAGTGTAGAAGCAAGTTGTTAACTTTGAGGACTTTAGCTTTCTGCTTGATTTGTGGGGTTGATCAATGTACTCCACTAATTTATAGAAACAAATGATTTAAACATTTTAAATTAATAAAGAGATCACTGTAGAGGACCTTTTAGATGATATATATTTTAAAGTATCTTTTTTTTTTAACTTAAAAAAAGTTTTATTGATTTTAGAATGAAAGGGAGAAAGAGAGAGAGAGAAACATTATCAGTTGCCTCCCACAGGCTTTGAAAGGTGGGTATGTGCCCTGACCAGGAACAAAACCCGCAACCTTTCAGCATACAGGACGACACTCAACCAACTGAGCCACACCAACTGGGGTGGAAGTATATTTAATAACTCATCCCTTCAAAAATATGACTGATAGAATGAAACTGATGAAGATGTAATACATGTTATATGACTTAACAAAATATTTCCTTGGTGACCTAGCAAATAATTTTGACTTCTTTTATAATTAACATTTGTAAATAGTGTAAATAGATACTGAAGAAGGATAAAGAGATGGTATTTTTGTATGTCTCTGGGGATGCACTTTATCCAAATATGGCATTATCTGAAAAATAAAAATAAAAAGTATTTGTTACATAACTTATAATTCATTTCTTAGTTTCTTAAATAACCCTGAGGGCAGAGAGGATGAATACTGTTTCAAAGATACAGCAAGTAAGGTTTAGAAACACTAAGTGACTGAAAGTGTAAGACTAGTCCCGAGGTCGGCAAACTGCAGCTCACGAGTCACATGCGGTTCTTTGGCCCCTTGAGTGTGGCTCTTCCACAAAATACCACGGCCTGGGCGAGTCTATTTTGAAGAAGTGGCGTTAGAAGAAGTTTAAGTTTAAAAAATTTGGCTGCCCAAAGGAATTTCAATCATTGTACTGTTGATATTTGGCTCTGTTGACTAATGAGTTTGCCGACCACTGGACTAGTCAATGGCAGATGTAGGACGTGAACCCAAGTGCAATGGACTAAATGTCAGTGTTCCCCCCAAGAAAATTCTATATCGAAACCTTGATCCCAGTGTGATTAGAAGGCATTAGAAGGTGGGGCCTTTGGGAGATGATTATGTCATAAGAGTAGAGCCCTCACAAATGGGATTAGTGTTTTTATAAGAAGAGGCCAGCCGTAACCTATTTGGCTCAGTGGACAGAGCATTGGCCTGCAGATTCAAGGGTCCCAGGTTCGATTCTGGTCAAGGGCATTACCTTGGTTGTGGGCACATACCCAGTAGGGAGTGTGCAGGAGGCAGTAGGGAGTGTGCAGGAGACAGCTGATTGATGTTTCTCTCTCATCGATGTTTCTAACTCTCCATCCCTCTCCCTTCCTCTCTGTAAAAAATTAATAAAATATATATTTTTTTAAAAAAAGAAGAGGCCAGAGAACTTGCTTGCTCCTTCTGCCATGTGAGAGGACACAGCCAGAAAGCAGCCCTCTATAAATCAGGTAGAGAGCAAGCACCAAGCACCTGACCTGACACTCTGATCTCAGGCTCCCATCCTCCAGACCCGTGAGGAAGAAACTTGTCATTTAAGCCACCAGTGTACGAGGTTTTTTTTTTTTTTTTTTTTTTTTTTTTTTTTTTTTTTTTTTTATTGCAGCCCAAACTAAGATACCCAAGTTTTCCGTTTTTAAGGCTAGTGTCTTTCAGTAAGATTGCCCCTCTTTTGGTGTTCACACCTCTAAATGGAAAATTGAAGAGAAAGCATGAAAAGGGGTGGTAGGATGTTGGAAAGTTTTACTTAGGGTGATTTCTGATGAATTGGCTTTTTAAAAAATATTTTTTTATTGATTTCAGAGAGGAAGAGAAAGAGAGAGAGAGAAACATGAATGATGAGAATCATCAGGTTGACTGACTCCTGCACGGCCCCTACTGGATTTTAAGACCTCAAACTGGGCATGCATCCTGACAGGAAATGAAACTGCAACCTCCTGGTTCATAGATCACCACTCAAGCACTGAACCTCAGTCTGATGAATTGGCTTTTGAATGAAGATCTGAATAAATTGAGGGGAGGAGAGAAGAAAAGAGAGAGAGAGAGAAGGAGAGAGAGAGAGAGAGAGAGAGAGAGAGAGAGAGAGAGAGAGAGAGAGAGAGAGAGAACAGCATGTGCCATGTCCTGAGGTGGGAACCAGAGTGGTACATCCCAGGAACAGGAAGAAGACCATGGTGGCTGAGTGGGATGAGGCCAGGGAGAGTAGAAGAGAAAAGGCTGAAAAGATAAGCACACAGCATACAGTGGATTTTATCCAGTGTGGTGTGACACGATGGGTGAGTCTTGAGCAACAAGTGAAGAATCTAACATAGGTGTGTGTGTGTGTGTGTGTGTGTGTGTGTGTGTGTGTGTGTGTGTGTTTTAATCACTCAGGCTGTCGTGTGAAGAAATAAATGTGGGAGGTGGCAAGAGCGGAGGCTGGGGAACAGATGTGAGGTCCTTGCTGTACTTGGAGAGAGAGATGATCATGGGTTGGATCTGAGTGATATCAGTCGTCAGATTCAGGACTGATTTTGAAGGAAGGGCTGTCAGAACTTCCTGACAGATTGGATGTGGGATGTGAGACAAAGAAAGTCAAAGGTTCTCCTCCCGATATGGCCATTTTCTGAGATGAGGAGGGGTCAAGGGTAAGGAGATCATGGGGTAGAGAATAGGAATTCTGTTTTGGCGATGGTAAACGTCACATAACGTCAAGGAGAGGTGGCAATCTGATAAATGCAATCTGATAGATGTGTCCAGAACTCGGGAGAAAGGTCAGGGTAGAGATAGAAATGCGGGAGTTCTCAGAGTAGAGATGAGATTTTGAATCCTGTAACAGAGCAGAGACCTGCAATCTGTCTGGGTGGAAATCACCTAGAAACCAAGGGCAGATGATGAAAAAGGGTCCAGGATTTTTTTTCAGCATTCGGAGGACAGAAGAGGGCCATCCTAATAAAGGGGATGCTATTTTATAGTTAATGATGTTTATCATTTGATTCATTGCACATTTGTTGAGGGTCTACTACAGTACTGTATGTTCATCAAATTTGGGAGGCAATGTTTCACAAATGAGGGTTTTCTCATTGCATCTGCTGGCCTCTGCAGGAAGGGGGTGCTCTCAGTCTTAGTGTGGCAGGCCCAAACTCTTGGTTTGGATTGGGCCAAGTTCTCTTTTGGGGTGAGTTCACCTTCGGCTGCTTTTAAGCCAATGCCTCCCGTATAGATTTGTTTTCCAGCAACAAAGCCACCATTTTAACCTCCACCTATCTCTCAGTGGAGGGAATTACTGTTGGACTTTTTCAAACCTCAATAGTATTCAGAATAAAGTAGACACTCAAACAAGTGTCAGCACCCTTTTCTAATGCCCAGAGACTCTCCACTTGTGGAAATAAAAATAAAATAAGCGCCTAGTATCCCCAGAGCACCCTTTGCGAACTACTAGTTTAAACTCGTTAAGGAAAAACTATGGATTCACATACTGATTCCCATAACATTTTCTTTAGGTCTAGACTTACCCAGTATCTTGTCATCATAAAGTTGAGTTTCTGTTAAATTCTGTTCACTTAAAAGGAACAAGGAGCTTTTCTGCAGTATTTAAAGGTTTATTTTAATGTTCCAGAATTGCGGGCTTATAGCCTCTATATCATTAATGTTGGTTATGGGAACTGTACTTGTTAGACTCTGTTTTGTAGAAAACCACGTACATTCATGTAAAGTGGTAAACTATGTCATAGGAAATGGATGTTAACGTTCACCATTAAACTTGTGAGAATTAACCTCCTACCTGTGATTTAACTCATCTAGCTCCAAGTAAGTCAACCAGAATAAAAGGTAACACTTAGAATTAGGAACACTAAAGGCATTCCTCCTCCTAAACGAGTTACTTTTTAATGTAAAATAAACACCTGACTGTTACAGATTAACTTTAAAACACAATGGAGAATCTCACTTGTCCAGGCCATACTGTTTCATCTTCTCAACACCACCTACCAGGAGCGTGGGCCAAATGCAAAGTCACAGCCCCCTCCCTCATCAAAGAAACTAAACCTCCAAATCTCCAATATGGCGATTCTTTTGCTTCTGATCTAACTGGATCACTTGTTGGTTGTATTTAATATAATTATACTCTCCTTTTACTTTTCTTTTTTTCAAATAAAAGAGAAAAACATCATCGGTTGTTTGCGTTGAATTAGAAACAAGTATTCACAATCAAGGTAGCTACCAGTTCCTCTGCTTCCTCCTGCAAAATACTACCCCCAGTGCATACCGTCATCCCAACTTCCATCCACATTTTATTGTTTCTGGGGCTTTTTGTTTAATACTTGTCATCAAAATAATTTCCATTTTATCTCAATTTTGCACATGAAATTTTTGCAGAGGTAACGAACATTGGTGAGAAAGGCGGCCTCCTAAGTTGTTGTGGTTTATTAGAATTAACTATCACAACTTTTCTCAAAATATGGTTCTCAGGCCATCAGCATCAAAATCACCTGAGCCTGCTGAGAATGCAGGCCCCAGACCCCATCTAGAGCCTATATTAAATGAGGCCTCCTGGATGTTGAGCCTGGGATTCTGTAGGCACAAGATAAATGATGCCCTCGCCGGTTTGGACTGAAGGGTCTTGGGTTTGATTCCAGTCAAAGGCATGTACCTTGGTTGCAGGCTAGATCCCCAGTGGGGATTGTGTAGAAGGCAGCTGATAGATGTTTCTCTGTCATTGATGTTTCTAACTCTCTATCCCTATCCCTTCCTCTCTATAAAAAAAAAAAATCAATAAAATATATTTTTTAAAAATGCACTTCACCTGTATTTCCTGTGGCCCAAGGAGATCAAGTTTAAAAAAAGAAAGTGAGAATCTCCATTAACTAGTCTCGCTTACTGATGCTTCAGACAGGTTGCCCTTTAAGTTCTCCCAGAACACCACTATGAAATTCTCCCTAAACGTATGCATCTTTCCCTCGTGTTGATTGGGTGGGAAGCCTACCCACAACATCTTACGTTTGGATGGGAAGTGCTTCTTCTCTGTGTGAGTAATGAGACTCAGTTTGATCCAGGAGCTCCTGCCACTGTCGGGCACAGGTTCTTTGGTTTGGCTATAAATATGGCACTGGTAGGCACCAGTGAAGTGCTTCCTCTGAGCTCTCAGTAAGCTGACTTGATTGCTTCTTTCCACCAAGCAGTTGGACTCACGCTTTTCATTGATTTCTTTCAGGAGACGTTGTCTGTCGGCTTTGCGTTTTATAATTGTTTCTTTGGTTATGTTTATAGACGTCATGATGCTGGCAGACTAATCATGAGGTGCTTCTTTGTGTCCTGCAAACAAATAAAATAATAATAATAATAAAAAAAAAAAACCATCAGTTAGTTGCCTGATTGATCCAGAAGCCAGTATTGTTCAGAATCAGGTGTCAGCCAGTCTTCACTCTCCTCCTGCATTATACTTCCACTGCTGCCCCCACCCCACAGCTCACTCAATTTTTCATTATTGTTTTCTAATCTCTTTTTATTTGTTGATGTTTCTTCGGGGGGGGGGGGGGGAGGTGTTTTTGTTTTTGTTTTGTTTTTTTAAAAAGGATATAGTAGAAGAATATATTTTGGTTTTTAGATACTACGCATTGATTCTTGCTTTTAGGACATTTTGTTATTTCTTCTGATTATAAAAAAAATTTAAAGAAAATACAGAAAAGCATAAGGTAGAAAAGCTAAAATCACTCTTGATCCCAAAACAACCAAATTCACATTTTGGATGTTTCTTTCACAAGAAATATCCAAAGGAATTTTATTATAACAAATATAGAAAAACAACAACAGTGAATTGGCTTAAGTAGAACATAAATTTTAAAATGTATAAAGGTTGTTGAGTAGTTAGGAAGATTTTGCTTGTTAGAACTGTACAGAAACACACATAAAACAAGGTTATGTATTGACTGTTAACAAAAATGTTGTGAGCAGAGAGACTGGCAGGAACCTAATCCTGTACTTCCATCAGGATTTGCTAAGTCAATGTTTGGGGAAACTTCACAGAATGTAAGTTCCACAATAATGAGAATCTACTGTATACAGAGTCCTCCCTTGTCCTTGGGGGATACATTCCAAGATCCCCAACTCCCCAGTGGATGCCTAAAACTTTGGGTGTACTAAGCCCTATATATACAATTTTTTCTATACATATAAATCTCTAATAAATTTTTAATTTAAAAATTAGGCAAAGTAAACGATTAATAACAATCACTAATAAAATAGCATAATTATAACAATATACTGTAATAAAATGTATGTGAATGTGGCTTCTCTCCCCTCTCTTCCTCTCTTCCTCTCTCTCTCTCTCTCTCTCTCTCTCTGGAATTTTTTATTTAATGTTTTGGACTGTGGCTGACCTTGAGTTAACTGAAACCACGAAAAAAGTGAAACCACAAGTAAATATATTACTGTTTCTTCAAGTACCTTATTTTAAATTACCTTTCACATGCAGCAATCCAAAGCCTATTTGAAGTCCACTCATTTGAAATGTTACCCTGGTGATGGAATGTTCTGATTGTGCCATTCCAACTTTGTTCTATTTATAGAATCCTAGTTACGAGAAATTGTAGCCCTTCCTGGTTTGGCTCAGTGGATAGAGCGCTGGCCTTGTGGATGGAAGGGGGAGTTTCCTGTCATTTCTTCAAATAATTTTCAATATCTTGCTCTCTCTCTTCTCCTTCTGACACCCCCATAATGCTTATTAGTACGCTTGACGTTGTCCCAGAAGCTCCTTACACTAACTTCATATTTTTTTAAATTCTTTTTGCTCTTCTGATTGGGTGTTTTTTTGCTTCCTCAGATAGAGTAAGCTTAATTTCTGACTGGTTCTTTTTCATGTCTTTGACATTCTCACAAGATCTTGAAAGTCTCACTAAGTCCCTTCAAGCTCTCATTGAGTCCCTTGAAGCTCTCATTAAGATCATTGAGCAACTTTAGAACCACCATTTTGAACTCTGTATCCTGTAGTATGCTTCCTTCCATTTCATTTAATTCTTTTACTGGAGATTTCTTTTGTTCTTTCATTTGTGACATGTTTCTTTGTCTCCACATTTTGACTGCTTCCCTGTGTTTGTTTCTATGTATTAAGCAGAGCTGCCTCCTGCACTCACGCCAAACCTGCAATCCAGGTACGTGCTCTTAACCGGGAATCGAACCTTAACCTCCTCAGCAGCAAAACTAGGTGGGTGACACCAGGTCCATGTATAATACAATAACTTAGGTCCTTGTCTTGGCACCAACCCTTTGTGAAGACCATAACCCTGAAAGGGTACATGTGGAAAAGCTGATGAATATTCTATTGAGATCCTCCCCTTAACTCCCAGACTTTAAAACCTGCAAAACAAAGGATCCAGCACACACCTCCTGGGAGCATATCTGAGCCTTGCCCTTCCCCTTTTTCTTCAGATGTGCATTTCCTAAACTCTAAGGCATCCCACAGGACTTGCAACCAGGGGAGCGATGGGCAGTGGCAGCTCATCGCAGGCTAACCCCCTGAACCTGCCCCCAAGGCCTCCATTTCTCTGCCTTTCCAGTGAGCTGACAGCTGCTCCACCTAGGTCAGTGGTCAGCAAACTGCAGCTTGCAAGCCACATGCAGCTCTTTGGCCCCTGGAGCGTGGCTCTTCCACAAAATACCACGTGTGGGCGCGCACGTACAGTGCGATTGAAACTTCGTGGCCCATGTGCAGAAGTCAGTTTTCAGCTCTCAAAAGAACTTTCAGTCATCGTACTATTGATATTTGACTCTGTTGACTAATGAGTTTGCCGACCACTGACCTAGGTCCATTTCTTTCCTATAACGTTTTTAGAGAGCCAAAGCAGCCCACCTAGTCTCCTATTGTTTCTTCCACCCTAGGCGCTTTCTTGTTTCACTGTCCCCAGCTTTAATAAATGTTCTCTCAAAATCTCCTGAACTTGTATTATGTAATATTTTCTGTGTGAAGTCATTAACCCACACAGTACTGGCAGAACCCACACACTCAGGGCTAGGTCCCCTTTCAGGGAACACAAAGAGCAGGAGATTCAAATATGACTTAGACTGAAGCTTAGTTTGGGGCTGGGGGAGAGACATATATGTTGTATAAAGAACAAAAATTTAGCCGAAACCGGTTTGGCTCAGTGATAGAGTGTCAGCCTGTGAACTGAGGAGTTCCGGGTTCGATTCTGGTCAGAGGCATGTACCTGGATTGCGGACACATCCCCAGTAGGGGGTTTGCAGGAGGCAGTTGGTCGATGTTTCTCTCTCATCAATGTTTTTAGTTCTCTGTCCCTCTCTCTTCCTCTCTGTAAAAAAAAAATCAATAAAAAAAATATATATATTTAAAAAAGAACACAAATTCAACTGAGTGCATTTAAAGATCTAATTGGCTTTATTGAACAATTCTTGAATCCTGGCAGGATCCCATCAAACAAGGATGATAAGGGAGGGGTGAGCAGAGGTGGAATTGCCATCAAGTTACTATAGATTAAGCTTCATTCAGAGTGTCTTTGAAAGTCTTGCATCTATTTTCTTGTCATTTAATTTTGATGTCAGTTTCTTAAAGAGATCCTGAAGGTGATTAAGCCTCCTCCATCCCTTCATTCCCAATGCAATCAAGCCACAGAATAGAACAGCACAGTGTGGCTGTTCGTGTGAACCGAGCACAGGAATAGTGGTGCACTCTGAAGGCCAGGCTGCTAAAATCTACTCCCACCCCATGAAAAATGCATTTTACATTTTCTGGCACTGCTCTGCTCTGCAGCTTACCCTCTTAGACGGCAGAAAACCTTTGCTCAGGAACAGCCACATCACTCCTAATGGCTTCTTGGACCTTGGCTCCCAGATGCCGTTCAGATCTCATATCGCCGAACTGTTCTGTACTCAAATCTCTCTCAGACTTGGCATTTCACACCCACAATATAGCTCAATCTGATCTGGACTCCCAGCCAAGTGATGCTCCCTGCAGTGCCCTCACTGGCAGAGATTAAGGTTCATGTTGTGTTATACATCCGGATGTATGATGTCTTTATGATGTATGCCTGAACTGGTTAATAAGTACCTATCATGGCAGCCTCCAGAGAGAGAAGGTAAGGCTAGTAGATTAGAATCACACAATAAAGAGATACTGCTGAGTTTCCCACTTTTTGAGCTCCATTCTTTATGTTCACACTTGGTTGAAACAGGTATGTGAATTTTGTCTAATGCTTTCCTCGGAAATACCTAATTTTACTTTTCGTGAGTCACAGAAACTTAAAAGCAGAAGAAACTCTAGATCACACATAGCTCAATCTTCCATGGAATTCATGAATCCTATCCACTACATACGTGGTCCAGCGTAGATGTCATCTAACTCTCGCCTAGATGGTGGTTCATTCAACTGCTGACCGCCTCTAATGATAGGAAATCTTCCTCTTGTTAGGACAAAAGTAGTTAGTGCACGCCAGAGTGTGTTGCCCTTTAGGGGCATCCACAGAGCACCTTCCAGGTGCTGCAATCATAAATCCGGTCTGAAAATCTTGAAGTCATTCCAAGACAATCCATGCAGCCTTGACTAGACAAGAAGGGGTCCAATCTAAGATAACAAGAGAAGGAGATATGACTTTGAGGAAATGTGAGTTGATGGTGGTAACATTTACAGAGTATTACTATAGGTCAGAGGTCACTCAGGCACTCACTTAAGTGCTTTATATTTCCTAGCCATTTATCTCTCACACTATTTTCATTTTCCAGTTGTAGAAACTGAGATGCAGAGTAACTAAAGCAAAGTCATGCAGCTAAGTAAACGAAAGAGCTAGGATTTGAATCCAGGCCAATGGGACCTGGAGTCTGGACCCTTAACCATGACAGGAGACCCACCTTAATGATTGTAACTAGTTGAGAATGTCCAAACCACATGCCAGGCGTCATTTATGTACTTGATCCTCAAAAGAGCAGTCCTATGAAACATGAATGGTTATAGAACATAAGTAACTTACCCAAGGTCCTGCAGCTATTGAGTCTGTACTAAAGTTGGTATACCAACCCAGGTAGCCTAGAGCTCTAGATCTGATGCTCTCCTCCACCGTTCCACATGCCCTTGGTGGTACACTCCTTGTGGATAGTGATGGTGTCACATATAGAGCTTTGTCATGTGCAGGGAAGGCAAATGGCAAGGCCGACAAGAGTAGGATAAGCACCAGCTGGTAAATATGCGGAGGGAAAGTAGTTGCTGACTGGTCCTCAGAGGACTCCCAACCCAATCCTTTTTGCAAAGGACGCGGAGAGGACAAGTTATCTATAAACAGAGGGAGCCTAAACAATCAGAAAGAATGTCTCCCTGTAGGAGTACATGCAGGAGGCTGCCTCTGTGAACTGAGTTAAAGAACAAAAAGAGGCCCAATGTAATGTGCCAGCTTCTGCTTTCAGAAAGGGAGTGGGAAGTTTGTAAATACCTGAATGTTTACTGTCAATATGTGCAATGGAGATGCAACTCCGGCAGGCAAGGAAAGGTCCATTTAAAATTCTACCCATTGGATTCATTTTCTGAACGGTTTTGTGTGTGTGTGTGTGTGTGTGTGTGTGTGGTGTGTGTGTGTGTGTGTGTGCTATGTAGAAGGTTTCATGGTACATGAAGGACTTAAAAATGCCTTTAAATACTGAGTAAGTTGTGCTGAATATTAATCAATACAATTAGCCAGTTTTTCAGAAATCCATAAAATAAACCTCTTAACGAAGACTGAAGGCCTTTGGATTCTATATTTAGCTATTTTTTTTTATTCAGAGAACATTGCTCAGTAATATAAAATAATACCCAAATAAATGTTTAGAAACTCTTATTTGTAGAGGAAATTTACAAGTTTTTTTTTTTTGGGGGGGGGAGTTCATTTGCAAAGCAAATATTTTAAATATTCAATGCTTGTTAGCTGCAGTCATTCAGTAAATATCTAACACTTATTGTATTTAAGATTAAATCTATTGTGAGAAACCTCTAGTTTTAATTTCAGTTTAATAATGACTATTTGGAGTCTGTGTGGTGTGTGTTGTTTTGTTTTTAGTAATTTTTTTTTCTCAAGAAGTGGCAGGGCTGACTTTTCCTCTAGTCCAGGAAGACTGGCAGGGCTACATGTGCTCTACTTTCGTTGTTAACCCTATTAACACCAGAGGATACTTTTTCCATTGTGTTTTAGAGAAGGGGGGGAGAGGGAGGAAGAGGAAGAGAGAGAGAGAGAGAGAGAGAGAGAGAGAGAGAGAGAGAGAGAGAGAGAGAAAGAAAGGGAGGGAGGAAGGGAGGGAGGGGGAAGGAGGGAGGGAGGGAGGGAGGCAGAGGGAGAGAGGGAGGGAGGCAGAGGGAGGGAGAGAGAGAGAGGGAGGGAGGGAATGGGGGAGGGAGGGAGGGAGAAGGAGAGAGATTGATTGTTGTGAGACACATCAACTTGCTGCCTCCTGGACACCCCCACCGAGGGCAGGGCACAAGCGAACCTGCAACCCAGGTACGTGCCCTTGACAGGGAATCAGACCCACGACCTTTGGTTGCGCAGGCCTATGTTCCCCACCAGCGAGCCACACCGTCCAGGGACTGACTACATGTGCTTTATAAAACAGAGATCATGTCCCTTTTTAATACTTTATACCCCAGGGCCCATGAGAGTGTTTGGCACACACCGTTCCAAACAAGTTTGGTACCTGGAACCTCCTGAACCTTCTGAATGTGCCCATTCATTACTAACTACACGTGGCGGGCTGAGGGCGAATGCGGAGCGATAGCGCCCGCTCCAACCTCAAAGCCCCACCCGCCTCCTTTGTCAGGACGCGGGGGTGGGGGGATCCCAACCTCACAAGAGCAGGACCTAACGGGATCGCTTTATTTGGACTGGAATCCCTTCTGGTGTGTTTCCTCTGCGTAGAGAGAGCACGGATTTACCAAACGTGGCGCCGCCCGCTCCAAAGGCAGGGTCCGACCTTGATGGACAGCGGTGCTGGTGCGAGGGTGCAAATCAGACCTCCGCCCGTGTTGGAGCTGGCCGGGGGAGCGCCCCTCTGGGCGCATCGGCAAACTCCTGGGCTACCTGTGCCTCTTTGTCTCCCCCTGTTCCTCCCTCCTCCTCGTCCCCCACCGGGAGCAGCCTAGACCTACGGCCGCCAGCTGCGTGTCAGCCCCCGGACTCCATCCAGCCCTGCCTCCTCCTCCTCCGCCTCCGGGAACTCCTCCCGCCCTTGACGGGAGCTCCCCGATTGGTTCCCGCGCCGGGCGAAGGCGCCCGCTGGTTGGTCGGTGGGCTGTCATCACGCGGTGATGCGACACCCTGGGGCGGGGCGACTGTCCACCCCGCCTCGCTCTGCTCGCGGCTCGGGGCATTTACTTTGCTCGCGGATCCAGGCTGCGTGTTTCCTACTTGGGGCTCCCACCTGCCTCTCCCTGTCGGAGAGAGGGGCCACGCACAGGATCGGTGGGCACAGGATCGGTGGGTTGGGGTGCGGGAGGGCCTCGGGTGCTGGGCGGGGGAGGGAGGAGGCTGGGGGCACGAGGCAGCACCGGGGAGCCCAGGGACTTGTCCAGGCCGGACGGCGAGGAGAGGGTAGCGGTGGCGCCCGGGCATCCGCCTACGAAAGGATCCCTGCCGGGTTCCTCCCGGTCCCCGGGGGCTCGCCGGCCGGGAAGATGAGCGCGGAGCCGCAGAACGGACCCAAAGCCGGCTGCGTGGCCCTGAATGGGGTCCCTCGGGACAGCCCCACGGTCGTCGTCTCGGGTGCCCTGGGCAGGCTGCAGACTCAGCTGGCCCCGGAGGAGGAGACCCAGATCCGGCTGCTGCCCATGACCCCCGGGGAGGAGCCCCCAGGGGCCGAGGGCCCCCTGGCGCCCCGGACGGCGCTCACTCCGCGGCGCTTTGCGGTGCTCCTGATCTTCAGCCTGTACTCGATGGTCAACGCCTTCCAGTGGATCCAGTACAGCATCATCAGCAACATCTTCGAGAGCTTCTACGGCGTCTCCTCGCTGCACATCAACTGGCTGTCCATGGTGTACATGCTGGCCTACGTGCCCCTCATCTTCCCGGCCACCTGGCTGCTGGACACCCGCGGCCTGCGCCTCACCGCCCTGCTGGGCTCCGGCCTCAACTGCCTGGGCGCCTGGGTCAAGTGCGGCAGCGTGCAGCAGCACCTGTTCTGGGTCACCATGCTGGGCCAGTCCCTGTGCTCCGTGGCCCAGGTCTTCATCCTGGGCTTGCCGTCCCGCATCGCCTCCGTGTGGTTTGGGCCCACAGAGGTGTCCACAGCCTGTGCCACCGCCGTGCTAGGCAATCAGGTAAGGACTAGGATGAGAGATGAGAATCGGATGCTTCAAGGACCAGATAAAGGGATAGGCCAATGTGAGCGAGGCATAGGGATGGACCTTCAGGAGGCTTGTCTGTGAATGAATAGGAGTCAGCCTTGGCTTAACAGGGAATTTTTTTGGTCTCTTTGTAAAGACAGGACTTTGAAAAAAAAAAAAAAAGTTTAAAGTGAGCACCTTATCACTTGGCTTTGAGAATTGCCTATAAAATAATTAACTGAATTGGCTCCTATGTGTCTGGCATCATAGAAGACTTGGCAGTGCAGTAATGCATGAGACTTGGGTAGGTATTATTTTTTTTTGTCACCCCCACCAGGGTATTTGCAGTTGAGGTATTGGATTCTGGGAAGTGTGTTCCATGTAAGTGGCCAATGTGAATAGCCCTGTTTAATTTTATATAGTAGCCGTCTGCAGAGTGCTTGGTACATAACAAACACTTATACATGACTGCTAAATAGGTGTCCTAGTGATAAAAATCTCACCAAATTCCCGAGTCCAATGACCAATTTTTAACAATTAAGAAAATGAAGATAAATCACAGATCTTGGAATCCATTGTAAAAGGGTGGCTTACATTGCCTCGTCTCCATTAAGGTGCTTCCTTAGTCTTTTCTTACACCATAGGTTCATACTCCATTAGTATGACTAAGTAAAATGTGTGAATTTTTTTTTAATATATTTTATTGATTTTATACAGAGAGGAAGGGAGAGAAATAGAGAGTTAGAAACATCGATGAGAGAGTCATCGATCAGCTGCCTCTTGCACACCCCCTACTGGGGATATGCCCGCAACCAAGGTACATGCCCTTGACCGGAATCGAACCTGGGACCTTCAGTTCCCAAGCCGACGCTCTATCCATTGAGCCAAACCGGTCCCGGCGAATGTGTGAATTTTTAAAATTGCAGAATGATTCTCTTATTGTAATTTACATTTTGCATATGGAGTTCTATACTTTATGTGAATTGTATTGAATGTTCATTAAGCTTGAGGAAAATCTAGTTAAAAACCTGAACTTCGCATCTCTCTGTACTACATGTAGCAATATATGTAGTTATGTAACAAAAGAATGTTACTTCTGCCCTACCTGGTTTGGCTCAGTGGATAGAGCCTCGGCTGTGGACTAAAGGGTCCTGGGTTCAACTCCAGCCATGGGCACATGCCTGGGTTGCAGGCTGGATTCCCAGTGGGAGTCGTGTAGGAGGCAGCCAATCAATGATTCTCATCATTGATGTTTCTCTCTCTTCCTCTCTGAAATAAAAAAATTTTTTATTAAAAAAGAAACTAAAAAAAAAAATGTTACTTCCAATCCAATACTGTTTCAAGATCTCAGTAAGATTTATTTAAAATCCATTAAAAAAAAGATAAGCTCTACATGCTTTATATTTATTTCCTTTCTCTAAAAGTGCAGAACGGGTAGCTTGAACTGTATTGTATCCAAAATAATTTATGACCAATATTTTAGTTGTTTGTTTCTGCATGCTTGGATAGGAACTGTTTACTTAAAGTATTTCACATTTACAAAATTATATTCAAGATTAAGACTTCATTGAGCATGACAAATATTATCAACTCTATAGCCCTGGATTATCTATTTCATGGATAATAAATGGAAATGTTTTCTCATAGGTAGATTTCCCTCTAACCATCAGCACATCTCTGGGCCTTCTTCTGATATCTACCTGGCTGTTCTCAACCTTCCTTGACTCCAGTAGCTCATGACCCTCAAGAGTGCAACCTCAGCCTAAATTATGGAGTGGTCATTTATAATAATATACAACATTTTTCAGCACTCACTAAAACCTGGCACCATATTAAGTCCTTTACTTGCATGTATCATTTAATTTGGTAATGTAAGGTAGGAACTACGATTCTCCCCAATTTATAGATGCAGAAATTGAGTCTTGAAGGGATGAAATTATTTCCTAAAAGTCACACAGCTAATTAATGCCAACATTCACACTCAAGTCTGTCTGACTCATGAATTCTAGATTTTAAATTACCCATCTAACATTGTTAGGTCTCTTAACCTGAGAGAACCTTTTAAAATATATCAAGCTATTGCCCTGCTTTGAACTTGCCAATGATTTACCATAGTACTTAAAATCTAAAGTCTACTTTGAATTATACAACCTTACTAATATGTCTTATTTGGTTCCTTAAACAATACTAAACTTGCATTTTGCATAAGCATCTTTGCAGAAGCATTCCCTCTGCCTGGGATGTTCTTCCTTCTTAGGATGACATTATTACATCCTTATTGTCACTGAGCTCTCAGTTTAAATTCATTTTAAATATCACTCAGTGGCAATTCTTGACAATCTCATTTAATGTTGTCCAATCATTCTCTTATTACATAATTATACTTTAATTCTCCATGGAGTGCTTATCACTGTCTGTATATTTACATATTTATATGTTTGTATATTAGCCATTCTTTATTACTCACTTCCCATCCCCGCCATCAGATTGTAAGTTTCATGAAAATTGGCACAAGGTCTGAATGTACACACCTATATCATCAGCATTTGTCACAATGCCTGGCACAGTGTAGAGTGTCCATAAAAATTGCTGACTATGTGGATGAGTTTCAGATTCACAGATACTGGCCAGCTGGATATTTCCATTTGGATATCCCATACGACCCCACCAATCAAAATTGACTTTGCCTCCTAGCTCTTTTCTCATTTCCAGTGCCACTGTCTTAGCTTTGGCTGCCTGCAGCTGTCACCTAGAGCTTGCGAACCGACTTTTCCATCTGCAGCTCTTGCTCTCTTCCCTCTATTCTCCATATTTATCCAGTGTGGTCCTTCTAATAGGTCTGTCTGGGCTCTCCCCTGCAAGGGCTTCCATTGCCTTCCTGCAAATTCCTCAGCGTCACCTCTCTCCACAACCCCACCCTCACATGTCTACTCTTTCTCTGCTCTGAGGGAAACTGTGTGCTTTCTTTTCAGTTTCTCACAAGGTCATGCTCTCTCTTTCCTGTGTACATGATGCCCCCTTGTCTGTGGATATTTCTACTTCACTTGGCTAACTCCAGTCCCTTTTCTTTCTTTCTTTCTTTCTTTCTTTCTTTCTTTCTTTCTTTCTTTCTTTCTTTCTTTCTTTCTTTCTTTCTTTCTTTCTTTCTTTCCTTTCTTTCTTTCTTTCTTTCTTTTCTTTCTTTCTTTCTTTCTTTCTTTCTTTCTTTCTTTCTTTCTTTCTTTCTTTCTTTCTTTCTTTCTTTCTTTCTTTCTTTCTTCCTTCCTTCCTTCCTTCCTTCCTTCCTTCCTTCCTTCCTTCCTTCCTTCCTTCCTTCCTTCCTTCCCCTCTCTCTCTCTCTCTCTCTCTCTCTCTCTCTCTCTCTCTCTCTCTCCCCCATTCCTTCCTTTCTTTCTTTTTTTTTTTCCTTTTTTTTTTTTTCTTTTTTTTTTTTTTTTTTAACACATTTTTGTTCATTTCAGAGAGGAAGGGAGATGGCTGTGAAGTAGTATCTCATTGTGGCTTTAATATGCAATTCCCTAATGACTAATGATACTGAGCATTTTTTTTTCTCACGTGCTTATTGCACATTTGTATAGCCTCTTCAGAGAAATGTCTATTCAAGTCCTTTGCCCATTTTTGAATTGGGATGTTTGTCTTTTTGTTGTCAAGTCGTAGGAGTTCTCTGTGTATTCTGGATAGTAGATCCTTATCAAATATATAATTTACAGGTGTTTTCTCCCATCCTATAGGTTGTCTTTTCTCAATCTTATTTTGCATATTCTTCTTCCTTTTTTTTATTGTAAGAGTCTTTAGAGCAGAATCATTTAGGTTAAGGAGCTCAGTGAATGCTTGTTGATCGGGAAGGTATCTGTCAGCAGTTCCTCTTTAATGGTAGCACTGTAAAACGACCTTAGAATGGCCCTAACCGGTTTGGCTCAGTGGATAATGGAGCGTTGGCCTGTAGACTCAAGGGTCCCAGGTTCGATTCCAGTCAAGGGCATGTACCTTAGTTGTGGGCACATCCCCAGTAGGGCATGTGCAGGAGGCAGCTGATGGATGTTTCTCTCTCATTCATGTTTCTAACTCTCTCTCCCTCTCCCTTCCTCTCTGTAAAAAAATCAATTATATATATATATTTAAAAAGACATTAGAACGTGGTACTTTAGAGTTCTCACATACACTAGCTGTCCTCTTTGGTTGTATTCAATGGCAGTACGTGCTTTTTTCTCTCCTAATGTACCTGTTAACGGGACTGTTTATTTTACAGCTTGGAACTGCAGTTGGCTTTTTGCTACCACCAGTGCTGGTGCCCAGCTCACATAACACCACGGAGCTTTTGGCTTATAATATCAGTACCATGTTTTATGGAACGTCAGCCATCTCCACACTTTTATTTATTTTAACAATAATTGGTAAGTGAATTATTTTCCCTAGAGCTTAGGTAGATAAATGCATGAAAAAAAAAAGTCTGAAAAAAAAACAACCAACCAACCCTAGTTGTTATTACTATCGCAAATGCCATTTGCTTGTTTCATTCTTGCCGTTAACACTGTCTTGCTCAGGGAATGAATGTCTACAGCTCTAGAGCTATGTCTGGCCCATCTACTTTAATATTGTAAAGGGTTCGAAGACTAATTCATCTCCCTTGTCCCCCTACTAACTTTTCTTCCCTGATAACTGTTGGATTTCAAACCTTACCTGACTCCTCCTTGCATATTCCTCTACCTGCTCTGCACCTTCCGTTAACCTAGCCAGGAACAGGTTCTTGTCAATGCTTTGATATGATGCAGACAGGCTACGATCTTTCCTTGAATGATAAATCCTCCCGAGGATCCTCAATGTAACCATTGACTGGATCTGAAAATATTGACCAGTGAATGCTCCTGGGCAGTGGCGAGCTGTCCAGCAGAATTTCAAACTGTGGCAACTATCTACTTGTTAGGCCACGCCAGCACAGCCCTGCTGCCACCCTCCGTCACTGAGTCCTCTCGTCGGGGCCTGTGTCTCGAAGCAGTCAGTCAGAATCAGCTGCAAGCAGCCATCATCAGTTTGGAAGAAGGTTTGGGAAGGTCTGCTTTTTAAAGTTTATTTTTAATGGGAACAATTTTGATTTCAGGGCAAGGGCTAGGTAAGGTTTATTTAACCTAACTATAATACTATAATGCTAACCTAACTATAATACTGCCCTTTAGGCGCTCAGTATATCTTAATGTGAGAGGAAGGGCACTTTAAAGATGTAAGGCCATCTTTTAATCATTAAAACTTACAATTAAATTGGGGGTTTTATTTATATATTACTTTTTACCATGGCTATAATAGTAATGAGAAGTTCAAGTTTTATGATCTCCAAATAGGAAATCCTCAATGTTCAATGAAAGGTATGCTGAAGATGATAGAATGTTTTGATAGAGACTGCCTTTATAGATGGATTTCAGGTATAGGAAGCTCAGCCACATAAATTTAATTTCCCTTAAGGTAATGAACAAAATATTTTCTTGGTAGCATAAGAAATATTCTGACATATCCAGTCTACTTATGGTTGGTTTTTGTGTTTCAGTTAGTGAGAGGCATATTTGTTGTGTGCAGACTACTGAAAAAGGACAAATTATATCTGTACTATTTTAGCAGTTTAACAAAGTTTTAAAAGAAATCTATATATATATTAAAATATATACATATACATATATATTGTCTAAAGTTTTACTTATGTCTCAAAGAAATCTATATTTTTAAAAGCAAACTTTTAAGTATATTTTTCTGACAGCCATATTTTATTTGCTAGATGAAATATAGTTCATATGCATTTTGCATTCCTGAGTCTTCTATTAGCAATAGGGATTATTACAATAGAAAATCCTGTTTCCTTTGATTGCATATGAATCTTCACATAAACTTTGGTTTTCCTTTATTGTTTTCAAATTGTCTCTTTAGAAGAAGTGAGAGACTAATAGATTGTATATAAAATATCTATAGATATGAAATTACATATGTGCACATATGTGCTTAAACATATAATGAGATGCTACAAATATAAGATTTTTATCTGTTAAGGGAGAAAGACAAAAAAAACAACCACCCACAAAAATCGGTGTGACCATTGGCATATCACCCTGTGCTATTTGAGATTTTAAAAGAGAACTTTGTATGTACATAATTACTTATTTATGTATGCATAGCTTATAGTTCACAGTGGAAATAGAAATGGGAGTGGGGAATGTAAAACATGGACTGGAAATGGAATAGGAAAAAAGGACTTACTGTTCGGTTTTGCTTGGTGACCAATCTTACAATACCAAGCCTAGTATAAAAGCAAAAAATATACTGTTGTGATGTGAATGTCTTAGGTTGAAAATTGTGACATTTAAATGAAACTTTTAATTTGAATAAATTAAATATGTATCCAAATATTTGCTAGTGGAAAAAATTTGGGTTATTTAAAAAGTTCTTACTTACTAAAAGGTCCTAAGTTACTAAGAGACAATCCTACTTTCTTCTAAATTCTACCCATAAATACTTTGGAAGCACAACCTAAATTATTTTGTAACTTATGTTTTCAGCAATGTGACATAACTAAATTGGTCTTTGGCCGTCTTCCTAAAATACTGTCTTGAGGGTTCATGCCATGCAACGCTTTTACCCTCACCGAGCTTGAGTATAATCCATTTGGCGTTTCTAAATTAACTAAGCCTTCCACTAAATTGACACTACTACCCCCTTCTTATTGGGAGAACTCTATTACGGCCTCTACATTTGATTGTTGGATACGTACCAGATATGCTGAAAGGCACACTATATGCTTATCTAACTTAATTAATTGTTTTATTGGCACAAGTTTTTGGTGGGGGGAAAAAGGGGGTTAAGAAGGCAGTTGTTTTTCAATTTCAAAGGACAAGGAAAAAGCCATCTTTCATCCTTTGAAAATGCAGTACAGGGTCACAGACAAATGGTTTTTTTTATTCCTTTTTCTTTCCTTCATATAGACCTAAACCCAACTTTATTATATTGTGTAGCTGGTAGACAAAGGCCTGATTTTTGTTTCAGAGGGCAACTGACTGCCTGAAATGAAAAGATCACACTTCAATTCAGAAAATAAATCTAGTGGATTTAAAGACTATTACCAAGGATCGTTTTTATTTTGCATTTGAGTTCATATCTGAGCCATTTAGACTCATTTTGCCATAGTAAATAAAAACCGAAGAAAATTAAGATTCAGTAAGCATTTTTTTGCATTCTGAAACTTTGCTTTACGACTGTGTGAGTTCTGTATGACCAATATTAATAAAAAAAGGTATCTCCTATCTTAACTAGGACCCTTTCAGGAAAGGACAACAGACTTCTTCAACAGTGCAAGGAGCAGATAGGGTGAAAGGAAGAGGAGAAATTGCAGCAACTTAAACATTTATGTCTACCAGTCCTCCAATGTAAGGATATTATAGAGTAAATATGTATGAGTTGTGTCTCCTCTTGAATTAATTGTGAGACTTGTAAAACTAGAAATCTGTTTTAGTTATATCATAATTAGTCATGTTTTGATGAGTAAAGAACTTTAAGTTTTTAATGTTTAGTAGCAAATAGGAGAATTAAAGAACTGCAGTATTATATAGAAGCTTTAAGGATCATTTCTCAGTGATTTTCACAGCTGGCTGGGTATTAATAGCATTTAGAGAAAAAAATTTTTTTTAATTTAAATTCTTTATTGTTTAAAGTATTACATAAGTCTTCTTCCTCCCCCCTCTCCCCCAACAAGCCTCTCCCAAGCCACCCCCGGCCCCCAGAGAGTTTTGTGTTTAATACAAATTCACAGGTACTGTTCTGGAGGTTCTGATTCATTGACTCTTGGATAGTCTCATAAAATCTGTTATTTTAAATTTTCTACTTGATTGTGATTGACAGTCAGGTCCATCAGACCTAGCCCACTTTTATTTATTTATTTATTTATTTATTTATTTATTTATTTATTTTTAAAATGTATTTTATTCATTTTTTACAGAGAGGAAGGGAGAAGAATAGAGAGTCAGAAACATCGATGAGAGAGAAACATCGACCAGCTGCCTCCTGCACACCCCCTAGTGGGGATGTGCCCGCAACCAATGTACATGCCCTTGACTGGAATCGAACCTGGGACCCCTCAGTCCGCAGGCTGACGCTCTATCCACTGAGCCATACCGGTTTCAGCAGACCTAGCCCACTTTTAAACAACAAGGCAGGCCTTCCTTGTTGGAAGAAATAGCCACTATTAAAAAAGAGAGAGAGAGAAAAAGTTCTTGTCTTTTAGAAAATATTACTTTTTTTCTGAATCCATTTACTCTATTTCATTGATTCTAAAATGTACACTTTTATCATGAAATCTCTGAAATTGAAATGCTTTTAATAATCAATGCCATCTAAGATGAATACATTCCAAAGTTCTGTTCTACATTATACCCATACTTAACAATACCATATTGTGAACTTAAAATTTGTTATGAGGTAGATTTCGTGTTCTTTTCCCAATTAAAAAAAAAAAAAAATCAATGGCCTATAACATTGGTGCCAACTGAGACATGATTATGTGAAAACCTTCTATTGATGCCTAGCAAGATCATTGAGTGCCAGCATCAGACCATCTTAGATTCGATGAAATACAGTATTTCCCACTTTATTTTGGTTTAAATTTTTGAGTCGGTTCCAAGACTAGATTTTGATTTCTGATGTACCAGGTTTTAGCAGTTCAGCTCTTCTAGTAAGTAGTCTTGACTTTTGGCTAGCCAAACCCTACAGCAATCTCTCCCTAGCCATCTGTTGCAGGAAGTTAGTGGATCCTTCCCTGCCCAGCAAAAAGGCAGTCTTCTAAATGCTTCCTGAGAAGCCTGTGAAATCTGTTCCTAAATCCATAGAAATGGGCGGTGCTATGACCTGCAGAATCAGAAACCATCACACTTGTCTGTCTTTTAGCTCCACCCCTAGCTCTCCCATATGCAGCTAGAGTGAGTCAGCAAGCAGTCCCCCTGAATCCACCTGGACCTTTTCAGTTCCAGAGGTGGGATTGGATACATAATACTTTTGCCAGATTTCAGAAGAAATAGTTACTAACTCAAGACAATCCTCTAAAAGTTCAGTAATATATTGGCTTGCTCCTACCTGATGTTACCTCTACTTACAAACTGAACTAAAGTTAGAAATAGAATTGTTGGATATTTAATAAAGATTGCTCTTGCTTAACTAAAACTGGAATAATCGGTGGGCAAGTTTGTTACGTATTGCTAATGGTTTTGCAGTTTTGAATGGTCCAAATCACTTGAGTGTTAGTTTGTTTCAATGCCAAACTAGACATCGCTTAGAAATCAGTGGAAAATGAAAAGCCTTGGGCTTTCACTCTTGGGCTTTCACTGCCTCTTTGAACGTAAATTGAATTTAGTCACCTCACTACTGACGCTGCATTTATTTAATGGCCTTTTCATGTACGTTTCCAGCATTCAAAGAAAAACCTCGCTATCCACCAAGTCGGGCTCAAGCAGCCATTCAAGACAGCCCCCCTGCAGAGTACTCCTATAAGAACTCAATAATGAACCTGTTTAAAAACATTCCTTTTGTCCTCCTATTGATCACATATGGTGAGTGGTTTTCTTTTATCTTCTTTGATGTCTCTATAAACCTTTGAGCATGGTAGATTGTTTTCATTTAATCTAGTGGTTTGAGCATTCATTAGTGCAGCAGGGTTGTTAACTCTATAAAAGTAATGATAGCATAGTCCACAAACTTACATTTTGAATTAAAAAGCAAAAACTTTAGGGAGGATTTTCTTACGTGTTTTTAAAATAAACGAATAGACCTCGAGCAGAGAAGCAGTGCCTTCTTTTGTGCAATCCATGGGTACTTTAGGTGCTTTCTCAACTACAGTTAGGGCTGCTGGAACCGTGTGGGAAATGCCATCAACAACAGCCTTGTTTGACCCTGTGCAGACTAAAGTCTATCCTGACTCCTCGATCAAAACTAGACATTAAGGAGGTCACTTTGACCAATTATAACTTAAAGGAAAGTCTCACCCTCCCAGATGAGACTTTCCTTTAAGTTATAATTGGTCAAAGTGACCTCCTTAAGATAAGTATTTGTCAGATGGCTGACAAATACTCATCTTAACTCTGTGGCTTTAACTGCCACTGTGGCTTTATTCTTTGTTTCTTATATTGGCACAGTTATATTCACAGCCAACACCCCCTATATCTGTCTTACTTGCCTTCAGAAATCATTCACTTCTGTTTACATTATTAGGGGAGTACACACCTTAGTATAGAATTGTTTTATAGGTTATAACAAATTATGCCCTGACCCAGACTCTTACCCTTTTATCAGGATTAATTCCTTTTTTTTTTTTTTTTTTTAATCTAATGAGTTCCTGAATCTAAAACTTCTAATGAGGAAGTAGAGTGGTTCACTATTATTTCTTAGAGCAAAATCATTTATTTTCTTTTTTAAAATATATTTTAATGATTTTTTTTTACAGAGAGGAAGGGAGAGGGGTAGAAAGTTATAAACATCGGTGAGCGAGAAACGTCCATTAGCTGCCTGTTGCACACGCCCTGCTGGTTATGTGTCCGCAGGCAAGGAACATGCCCTTGAATAGAATTGAACCTGGGATCCTTGAGTCTGCAGGCTGATGCTCTATCCACTGAGCCAAACCAATTAGGGCCAAATTCATTTCTTTAGCCTGCCATTTAAGGTGGTATCTTTCACTGTTTCCCAATACAAAATTCTCTTTCAGTCAAATTTATAACCTGTCAGAGACATACACAATCACACACACAAGTATGCATGCCTCCGCATGCATATATACTTTCATTCTAGTCTCTGTAACTTTGTGCCATTATTTCTTGTACCTGAAATGGGCAAGCAGTTTTACAACAGCTAGCTTAACAGTTATCTCACTGTTGTTCATTTTATTTCACTAGTAATTATTAGATATCAACAGATATCTGATAGATGCTGTGTGAGCTAGGAAGAAGAATGATAGGTATACGATTTCTATTCTGAAATAATTATAACCCAATGGGAAGATAATAGAAACATCTGAAAAGTAAATAACAGTGTAAGAGAGGTTTATCAAAGGTAATAAGTAGTACAGCAAGTGCATGCTAGAGGCACATGCTTCCACAATTACTAAAGAAGAAAATGGGAAATGTCACCTTTGCTCACATATAAAGTCTGTGGCTATGCCACTAAGTGCATGGGAAGAGAAAATCTGGAATATTTGTCAAGAGCTCTAATGACTAGAACGTTATGCAGCCACAAAAATGTGATGCTTGGCAGAAGAGAACTATATAGAAAACTGCCCTGAGATCATTGATTACCCATACAGGAAAAGCAGAGTAAAATTAGGTCTCAACATCATACCATACACAAAAATGAATTGTAATAAATTAAAGACAAAGGCTAAAAAACAGAACTTTAAAGTTTTAGAAGGAAGTATAGGAAACCACATTGGTATTCTTAAAAGAATTTCCTAATGCAAAAAGTGCAAACTTAAAAGAAAAAGATTGATAAAAGATGACAGTATCAAAATAATGGTCTTTTCTAAAAAGCATCAGTAAAATATAAAAAAGACACATACTCTGAGAAAAATGCCTACAATGTATATAACCAACAGAGGCTTAGTACCTATATATAAAAGTAACTCCTATTGATCAACAAGAAAAGAGCAAACAATCCAAGGAAAATGGAAAGCATTTATGTGTTTGTGTCTGTGTAGTGCTCATATGTGATGCTCAACCTTACTAATAACCAAGGAAATGCCAGTCAAAACGATAATAACACTCAAATTGCCCCTCCCTAAAAAGTTTTTTAAATTTAGTGAAAACAGGTTTGACAAGAATGTGGAGTAAAGGAATTCTGCTGGTAGTGAAAAGTGATGCAACCATTTCGAAGAGCAATTTGGCCTTATCCAGAAAGCAGTCTTACTCCTACGTATATACTTAGAGAAACCCTTATGCAGAAGAACAAACACAGAGTAATCATTACAATATTGTATTAGCAAAAAACTGGAGAACATTTCCCTATCATAATCTCTTGTAAGTTAGGTGTTAATTGATCAGTGTTTATTGACAGGATAAGAGATACATAAATTGAAGTGTATTCACACACGGACTATTTACACAGCAGAGAAAGCTGTGTAAATGAACAGAACTAAAAATATCAGCATTGATCAATATCAAAACCATAATATTGAGAGATAAGAACAACTTGCAACAGATACAAATGATATATTGTTTATATAAAGTTTAAATACACACAAAATTCTCATTATAGTTTATGGATACACATAAATATCTAAAATAATTATAACATCTAAATTAATAAATCCCAAGATCTGGATCAGGGTTACCTCTGAGAAATAATAGGAGAAAAGGATAAGATTAGCGAAGGTCTAAAAACCGAATCTGAAGCAAAGATGGTAAAGTGTTAATGTTCGACGAAGCTGGGTGAAGAGTAAGAGTGTTTGTCAAATTATTCTCTATACCATTTTGTATGCTTGAAATATTTAGTAATAAAGAGAAAGAGAGAAATAATAACCTTAAGTTTCAACCAGGTTAAGAGATTTATCTAAAGCCACACATTATGTGTAAGGAAACACCAGGATTCAAATCTAGATATATGCTTCCTGACAACCAGCTGTTTTATTTCTCTCTTTTAAAGTATTCTTTAATTAATATTGTCTTACACTAATTTGCCTTGTCGGTCTTGATGCAGGGGTGAGATCTCTGAAGCAGGGGATTGTGCCTTCTGCTTCAATATTCATTAGCTCAAGTATACTGTGGGCGCTCAGTTAAGCAATCCGTTGCTTCATTGCCATATTCTAGTACATTGTTATGCGTGGGGCTCTGATTCATGGTCAGTATATCAGACTCTAAATATTGATAAATGGTGTAATGACAGAATTTTTTCTATCATATTCTCGAGTAAGTTAGCTGTTCATTGATCAGCCCACATCCTGAAATGGCAAGAGTTCTGAATTTTCTCTGTCACCTGAGAAATACATTGTATTTTCACAATTGGCACAGAGAACTCCATGGCACTTTATGAACTGGTAATGGTACATTTATTTATAGTTTTCTGCTTATTATTATAGGTATCATGACTGGAGCATTTTATTCAGTCTCAACATTATTAAATCAAATGATACTGACATATTATAAGGTAAGCTTCTGCTGATATTGTGTTGCATGCTTGGCCAAGAATTTTCCTTTAGCTGTACAATTGCTGTTAGCATGATCATAAGAATAACGATTTATGATCTTGTTGCTATAAAAGATTTATATTTGTTTCAATTGAGAACACATTTTTAAAAATATTTTTTTTATTGATTTCAGAGAAGAAGGCAGAGGGAGAGAGAGATAGAAACATCCATGATGAGAGAGAATCATTGATGGGCTGCCCTCCTGCACACCCTCTACTGGTATTCGAGCCCACAACTCGGGCACGTGCCCTTGACTGGAATCAAACCTGGGCCCTTTCAGACCGCAGGCCGACACTCTATCCATGAGCCAAACCAGCTAGGGCGCAATTGAGAATACATTTAATCTAATTTATAAAACACACAAAATGGAAAACTGAAAGTTATTATTGCTTTGACAATGCTTGCCTTTTTAAAATTACTATTCTTTTTTTAAAGAAATAGTATGACTGGTTATATGGAAAAAGACAAAAAAGATTTTAAGGGGAACCAACACAAAAATGAAGAAGCAAATATCAAGCCCCGACCTCTCTTTGCTTTTGGAAAGGAGGAAGCAGTTGTATTATGTAAAAGCTGTCAGATTAACCTCCTTTTCAGGCACCGGTGACTTACTTAGGTATTCTAACAAAAATCACTGTATTTCTAATTGTACAGGATCTTTTTGATTTCTCCATATTTTAGGGTATTTTTTTCTGGTTTGAAAATATGTCTTTTATATGTGCTCCCATCCTAAAACACATACCAAATCTTCCTATTAGGTGGTATGCTTAATTCTATCTGATTATTTCCATTGACTTTGTGAAGGAATGGGAATGTGAAGGATGCATTAGAATTAGAAGTGCCTGATTAACTTCTTATGAAAATTCTTTTAAGGGAGAAGAAGTGAATGCTGGAAGGATTGGGCTAACACTGGTGGTCGCTGGGATGGTGGGCTCCATTCTCTGTGGCTTATGGCTGGATTATACCAAAACATACAAGTAAGTGAAGTTAGATGTATGGTGTTCATTTGGTTTTAAAGAAGACTTTGGCTTTTAGTTTTAAAAAATTAAAAAGGTGTTATTACTACAAGACTTGGATGCTAGGCAAGCTTAGGATCCCTTCGCTTCTGAATGTTTCTGTAGTTTACATATTGTAAACTACATTTACTACATTCTCCGATTTTGTGGGTCATATTTATGTAAATTTTGAGAGCTTGGATACATTATGAACCTGTTCTCCTCCAATAATACTCATGCATACCACTTCCTTTTTTTTTTTTAATATATTTTATTGATTTTTTACAGAGAAGAAGGGAGAGAGAGAGTTAGAAACATCGATGAGAGAGAAACATCGATCAGCTGCCTCCTGCACACTCCCTACTGGGGATGTGCCCAAAACCAAGGTACATGCCCTTGACCGGAATCGAACCTGGGACCCTTCAGTCCGCAGGCCGACGCTCTATCCACTGAGCCAAACCGGTTTTGGCACATACCACTTCTTTAAAAAAGTTCTTTCTGAGAAACATTTAACTCTGACAGAAGTTTTATGCTGCTTTTTTTCCCTCATGTTGTGAGTTTAAAAACAAGCAAAATGTTGTTATTTTCTATCAGAAAATTATTATTGAGCATAAGGATTTTTTTTTTTTTGGTATAAAAGTTTGACTACAGTGTCCCCAACTATAGCATCACTTGGCTATAATACACAATTTAAAAACACCATATTGTATTACATCTATATGGAATCAGCAAAATGATAATGCAAAAGGAAAATGAGTAATACCAACTGGGAGTCTGAAAAAGGGGTTTCAGAGGCAGCATCTTCTGCTCTGAGCCTTAAAGAAATAGTACAGTTTTTAACAGGCAGAAACTTTCCATTTTCTTGGGAGGAATACATGGATGAATGAATGAAGGAAAGTGAGGTGAATAAATGGAATGAATAAAATATGGCACTGTGTCCTGTCCTCCTTCAGGGCCCAAAATATTTTTAATACCGCTTATCTAACCCAGTGGGTCCCAACCTTTTTTTGGCCATGCCCCACCTAAGCATATCTAAATCCTGATGCTCCTCCCACCCCGTGACATATAATTCTTATTATTCAAAAAGTGGACTCTTATTCATAAGAAAGAAGCTTAAAAGGACATTAACTTGGTCTAAACAAGCTTCCAAAGAACATGGCATTCATGAAAGAGAAAAATAAAAAAAATGAAAGAAGAGCTGAAGTACTGAGGAAGAAATCACTAAGAAATTGTTTAAAAATAATAATAATATGAAGTGATGTTAAAAAAAAAAAAAAAAAGCAAATAGCCGAGACCAGTTTGACTCAGTGGATAGAGCATCGGCCTGCGGACTGAAAGGTCCCGGGTTCGATTCTGGTCAGGGACATGTACCTTGGTTGCGAGCACATCCCCAGTAGGGGTGTGCAGGAGGCAGCTGATTGATGATTCTCTCTCATCGATGTTTCTAACTCTCTATCCCTCTCTCTTCCTCTCTGTGAAAAATCAATGAAATATATTTTTTAAAAAAAAAAAGCAAATAAAGTTTTAAAACAGAATAGAGAAATGAAATGCATAAATATGTCACAACATATATTTATATTCTGTATATGAGGCCCCCAGAATCATAAGAATGCAAAACAAAATCCATTAATAACTCATTCTCAAATTGTCCCCCTTAAAAATAAAATTGCCCCCCCTGTGGATATGTGCCCCATATTGGGAACCATTGATCTAACCCCTTTCAAATTACCTCTGATCTTGAATTCTCCAAGATAGTTCTCCCATAATTTAAGATAGCACTTGCTACCGCTTCATTATTATGAAATGGTAGCTAGAGTGAAACCTATTAAATTTATAGATGAAGGGATCCTATGTCAGGGATTAAATTTATTAATAGTTTTTGGTCCATTATATAATTAGAAAACTTGACAGTTATAGAAATGTGTTCTCTGTTGCCCTGGGTCTTAGGTTAAGTAGGAATTGTGGCAAGCAATGTATGGTCCCTGTCCTTACGACACTTGTGGTCTAAATGGGAAAAACAATTCAGTCACATTAAAGAAATTAAATAATAATAACACAGACTAAAACAGATGTCATAAGTCCAACAGACATCAAGTACCAATTATTTGGATAGCAGAATGATAAGAAATTTAGAAGAAAGAAACAATGTTGTAAGCTTCAATGGTTAGGGAAGGCATTTTGGAAGAGGAAGAATTTAACCCAAGTCTTGAAATATGAATAGGAGACATAAAAATGATATTATCCATATCAATATTCCTTTCTGTACTAGCATTAGATACAGTGTGGATTTTGTTGTCTGCTGTTGTTGAAATTTAAGCTTTGAAGTCCATGCTTTGGTAGAAATATTTTCCATAGGTAAGGGAATCCTAATCTTGTAAACCAAAGTTTTTATTACTGTGTGGATAGAGCAATGGCTAACCACCTGGTGATTATGTGCTTAGGATATAATACTAACAATTTTGTTTTGTTTTGTTTTGTTTTAGGCAGACTACTCTGGTAGTTTACATTTTGTCTTTTTTGGGAATGGTTATATTTACTTTCACACTGGACCTTCAATACATTATCATCGTGTTTTTTACTGGAGGGGTGCTTGGGTAAGTATCAAAGGTGATTAGGAGGAATAGTAGCATGCTGTTATGATTCCGAAATATTACTACTGTGGGTTTTAATTAACATTAAATATATTCTTACTGATTTGAGAGAGAGAGGAAGGAAGAGAGGAATAGAGAGAAAACCATCGCAATCGGTTGCCTCCTGCAGGTGCCCTGACGTGAGATCAAAATTGCAACCTCAGTGCGTGCCCTGATCGGGAATCGAAGTGGTGACCTTTTGGTGCATGGGGTGACACTCAACCAGCTGAGCCACACTGGCTAGAGCTACTGTGGTTTTTTGTAATTTTTAAAGTTCATCCAAGGGTTCTTTAACATTTTAAACTTTCAAAGATTCATCCTGTGCATATAAATGTGTAATCGTTTAGAAATATAAAAAATAGTTTTAAATTGGATTTTTTTTTTTTTTTTTGGTATATGTAGGTGAAAAATGGATAAGCCTTACTTAGTCCAAGTAACTTTATTTTTCTCAGAAAAATATTAGACATTGTTTTGCTTCTCAGTTCTGTGTTCCTTGGGGGTCAATGGATGCACAATAAAAGTGCCTTTCACATACCAACTTCAAGACAGTATCTTCCCGTGGTTGGCAAACTGGCTCCGTGTGCCACATGCGGCTCTTTGGCCCCTTAAGTGTGGCTTTTCCACAAAATACCACCGTATGGGAGAGTCTATTTTGGAAAAGTGGCGTTAGAAGCAGTTTAAGTTTAAAAAATTTGCCTCTCAAAAGGAAGTTCAATAGTTGTACTGTTGATATTTGGCTCTGTTGACTAATGAGTTTGCTGACCACTGGCTTATCTGATCATCCAAATGGGCCTGAGAGGTAGAATGACTGTCTCCATGTGACATTGCCCTTCTGGTAACCCTGTAATTCTGGATGCATTTTCCTAGTTTCTTCATGACTGGTTACCTCCCCTTGGGCTTTGAATTTGCTGTTGAAATCACATACCCTGAATCCGAAGGTACTTCATCCGGTCTTCTCAATGCTGCTGCACAGGTAAACCTCTGATTTCCCTTCCACCTGAGATGATTGGCTTGCTGAATATTCTAGCAGATGAGTTTGACCCTAGCTTTTGTTTAAAAAACTCCACTTTTGAACGAATGATTCTAGACGTCAAACCAAATGAGTAAAAGTGTTAAGGAAATTCTGGGGGAAACGTTATACTTATTTTTTTTTTTTAAGCACATTTGATGAAAATAATTATTTTATTTTAGATTTTTGGAATTCTGTTCACGCTGGCTCAAGGAAAGCTCACATCAGACTATGATCCGAGGGCAGGAAACCTGTTCCTCTGCGCCTGGATGTTTGTAGGCATCATTTTGACAGGTAAATCGGGCTATTTTTCCGGAAAAAGTACTTACATCAGATTGTCTTTCTGTTTCATTTTCACGTATACTGATTCTGAATGGCTTGGCAGGCCTCAAGACAAAGATGAGATAGAGAGCAGGCTACGATTTGTTTTCTTCCAATGATATGAAGCTGTAAACTTATCTTTCAGGTTTCAAATGCAGTACAGTCACCCTGCACAGAAAACAAAACTGTTGCAGCAAGCCACAGCAGAGCTGGAGGGGGCATTCCCACCTTCAAGTTCTGATCCTGCTACTCGCTCACTGTGTGATGTTAAGACAAATGACTTCCCCTTTCAAATCCTCCTTTCCTCAGTTAGGCAATAGGGTATTTAAAAGCCTGCCTTCAAGGGTTGTTATGAGGATTAGTGGAGGTGTCTGGCACCTAGGACAAGCCTGATCATGTTAGTTATTACTACAATGTAGCGGTGGCGTAATGTCAGGTGGTGGCGCTGGAAATAGCATTTGGCATGGTTAGCCAGTTCTTACACTTCTTGGGTATAATCAGAAGAGCCCTGAGCAGGAGAGTGGGCAGTGCCCCACCGCCAGAGAAAGAGCATGCTGAAGAACCTGGATCCATAGTTTGTCCAGACACACAGTGTAAAACTGGGTTCAGAAGCAATGCAGTGCTATCTGGTCCAGACTGGCTTCTACTGTTATTTCTGCCACCCTTCACCAACACGAGAGACAGAATCTATCCAAAACACAGAAAGCAAGGCTTTCTTCTTATGTTTATTGAATACCTGATCATTCGCTTTGAAATCCCCAACATGAAATCTTTTTTTTTTTTTTAATATATTTTATTGATTTTGTACAGAGAGGAAGGGAGAGAGATAGAGAGTTAGAAACATCGATGAGAGAGAGTCATCGATTAGTTGCCTCTTGCACACCCCCTACTGGGGATATGCCCGCAACCAAGGTACATGCCCTTGACCGGAATCGAACCCGGGTCCTTCAGTCCCCAAGCCGACGCTCTATCCATTGAGCCAAACCGGTCTCGGCCCCAACATGAAATCTTATCAGTAGTAAACACTTATTTCGGAAATACACAACTGAGATCACTATGGTTCATTTGTTATGTCTAAAGAGAGTGAGTGTCCCCTTTGTCCTCCAAGGAAAACATCCCAAAGAGCATTAGAGATCTGCTCCCCGACATATGTTGTCAGTTTGGCTCAAATAAACTCATAAAAATTCTCTAAAAAAAAAAAAAACCACATCCTGCTACGAGGGAGTTCCCCCCTGTTTACTTCAGTTAGCAATATAAAACACAAAACTTTGAGGCATGTAATACTTTAACTGCCCTATCTACTGATCTGTCGTAAATAATTCCATGTTGACTCTTCATTTCCATGAAAAGTAACGTAAGTCTATCAGATAGTGTTATTATTTTTAATGTATTTTTATTCATTTCAGAGAGGAAAGGAGAGGGAGGGAGGGAGGGAGAGAGAGAGAGAGAGAGAGAGAGAGAGAGAGAGAGAGAGAGAGAGAGAGAGAGAGAGAGAGAGAGAGAGAGGAGAGAGAGAGAGAGAGAGGGAGAGAGAGAGAGAGAGAGAGAGAGAGAGAGAGACCAGAGAGAGAGAGAAACATCAACAATGAGAGAGTAATCATTGATCGGCTGTTCCCCACTGGGGATCAAGCCTGCAACCCAGGCATGTGCCCCTGACTGAAATCAAACCGGGACTCCTCAGTCCACAGGGCCACATTTTATCCACTGAATCAAACCACCTAGGGCGTTATTGCATTTTAAAAAATATATTTTTATTGATTTCAGAGAGAGGACAGCAGAGGGAGAGAGCAGCATCAGTGATGAGAGAAAATCATTGATAGCCTGTCTCCTGCACACCCCTACTGGGGATCGAGCCTGAAACCCTGTACCAGGAATCAAACAGTGATTTCCTGGTTCATAGGTCAATGTTTAACCATTGAGCAACACTGTCTGTGCTGCTATTGTTGAACTTTTGAAAAAGGAAGCTGTTTTGAACTCTGTTTTCACATTACTTTTATAATCAGATTCATAAATGTCAATTCAAATAAATCAAGTCTAGAAAATTGATTATGTGGAAAAAGAACTTTGAAATTGTTTTACATTGATGCTATTTATTAATGATAAAATACACATTTTCTCCATATTAAAAAAATAAGTGAGTAGGCTCTTTAATTTGACAAATTGTACAACATTGTAGAGCTGATCATTCAATGGTGGTCAAGGCTGCAATTTAAAACTTAGTGTTTTAATATCTAAACTGCTTTTAAATATGAACTCATTGCACATCATCAGTTTCTTCAAAGTCATTTACATATGTCCAATTAGCTCAGCATAAATATCTGAATTTCTAAACTGCTGGTATCAGCAATGGAGCAAAAGTATAAGGGACAATGTGGATTTCAAAGGATGCCTTAGACTAACTTACGACCCAATTTTACTTTGTTTTATGACTGATTAGATTAGTGAACTACCCACCAGCTTTTATCTTCTTTGCTTATTTCATACTCTCCTTGAGCAGTCAGTCTATGCCTTAACTGCCACTTACACTAGTAACTCCAAACCTGTATCTCTTTTACATCCAATCATCTATTTATCTTCAGACCTAGATGTTCCATGTCTCAGCCTGTCCAGGACTGTACATACCATCTTCTCATCACACATATTCCCCTTGTATTTTTAGTTTCAATGACTAGGACCACCATCTATTCATTCCACTTTTTTCTTTGTCCTCCCTATGTTGTCTATATTCTTTGTGGGTGTGTTATTGAGCATTTAATGACCCTTTTTATCTGCTTTATGTCCATTTTTCATATTCTATCAAAGCAACGAGTCTTATGGTTCTATTCTCAAATATCTCTGAAACTTGTGCCTTTATCTCCATTCTCATAGATGCATGCCTCTCTCAGCAGGATTAAAACCTCTTAACTGATCTTCCTGTCTCTAATCTTGTTGTCAATAATGATCCTCCTTGTAACTGCCAGACTGAAAAGCTTCAAAAAACCAATATTCAAAATTTCAAAGCTTAGAGTAAGGAAAGGTTCACTTGATGAAGAAGGCACCGCCAGCCTGAGAAGATGAGGGTGCCGTAGACATTCCTCAAATCCATCTTAAGAGAGCCCAGAATTCAGGCTTCTTTTATGTCAAGGGAAAACTAAGTGAGGAAAGGAGGGCAAGATGTGATTGAGGATTCCAGATATCTGGGTACCAATAGGGATCCAGGGAAGAGGGTGAATCTCTAAACCTCTTGGTTCCTGATCCACTGACGTTGACCCCTACTGGTCTGAGCCTGCTCTTGAGGCTCCTGCAAATCTTTGATAAACAGTCATAATTTTGTACATAGTTCCCTATCTCCTCTGAGAGGCACCCCCAGGCAAGGGCTATTCTTTCAACAACTCAAGCCTCAAGCAGCATTCCTCTAATGATGAGCATATCTACCGCAGGAGCTATTTGCCTGAAAGCCTTGGGGGAAATGCAGGCTAGAATTAAGATAGAGTCAGAGAAACTGGGAGTGTTTCACTCTATGATAGCCCTGGTGGTGTCCTCCCTGCTCAGATGCAGTGTAAACTCTACACGGTGTCCACCGTACGTACCAGCCCAGTCTCATATCCTGCCATCTCCCTCAGTGATCCCTGACTACTTCTAGTGCCAAGAATAGGCTAAACTCTTCCTGTCCCAATATCATTGCATATGCTACAGTAAAATCTGCCCACCCAGAAGGCTTTCCTCTGTCCTCTCCTATGTTTGACAAGTTCCTACTCACTGTTCAAATTTCAATTCAAATGTGTCTCCCCTGGCAAGCCTTCCCTGACTTCCTTTGCGTGACATAGGCATTCCTCCCCGCCCCCTCCCCCCATGCTCCCATGACACCTTATACAACCCTGAATTGTTGCAGTTATCATACAGTTCCTACGTGTCAGTAGGCACGTAGGGAAAGAATTGCACTGTACATCTTTATGTCCTTGGGAAAGAATTGCACTGTACATCTTTATGTCCTTGTTTCCTGGCATCCTGTAATTTGTTCACTAATGAATGATTTGCCGATTAAGCCAATGGCTTAGAGAGGTACTATTACTTTTTCCACACCACAAGGATGCTATTGAATATTATGGCACTATGGTGTGCTAAACTTGACAAGAGCAAAAAAGACTCTGCACTGCTTAGAGAAAGTACAATGCTACTTACTCCGCGGTAACTGTTGATGCTTCTGTTCCAGCGTTAATCAAGTCTGATCTGAGAAGACAAAATATAAATACAGGAATTACAAACGGCGATATTAAAGCTGTAAGTAATAAATCCTTTCATGATTATACTATTGAGGGATGTGTGCATAGAATAAGTGTGAAGCCAATCTATTTCTCAGCTCGCTCTTTATTCCTGAGCCGATTGTTGAGCTGGCATAAGGCATATGCCAGATGTTATAAATTTTGTCCTCTTCTGATTCTTTCCACAGGTGCCAGTTGATAGTCCCACAGATGAAGAATCAAAAACTGTTATGATGTCCAAGCAGTCAGAACCAGCAGTTTGAGCTGAAAGGAGAAGTTAGTATCATGTGATGTGTGAGCTGTAAGGCTTGCTTCGTAGGTTATGAGGAATAGACACTTACTTGAAAACTACTGTATGGAACCTACATGTAATCACTGTTTTTGCTTAATTGTTAATGGAAGCAATATTTTGCTTACACCCTTTTAACACTACCATTATCTAATGAGTGTCCCATTTGTAGTCTTCTATTGTCTATCTGAAAGTAAGCTTCTTGATATTTATTTTTCAAAAGTAAATGTTTTTCTTTTTTTGTGGAAAAATGGAAGCTTGCATGTGGAAATGATCGTGTGGAAGGTCTAATTCCTTTAAGTCACGTAAGAGGACATACAATTATATGTAAAAATGCCCAGTAGGACCAGGTGTCCTCTTGGCTCCCTTTCCAGCTGTCAAACCCCCTGAGTCCAGTGTGAATCCAGTGTAGCGACAGGACACTTCAGTCCACCGAGGGGCAGTGCTGAGATGCTACTTCCGGACGACTGCTACAGTTTCCCGTCGCTTACATCCCTGTTACAAAGCGCTTTGTAACAGGTACCGTCAATGACCGGAACACCATTCAGTGTGCAGATGGAGCCCCCCCACGACTTCGGTCTTTGTTCTAGTGAAGCTCAGGAGCCAGACACAGGCTGATTATCTTGACTTCTCTGCTCTGCCTTCTTTCTTATCATGGGAGAAATGCTAACCTATATTTTTTTCACTCTGGTTTGAAATAGAGAAGTTTTGTACCCATTGGCTTTTTTACTTGCCCCCCTCCCCCCCCAATATTATATATACCTTTCTAGAAAGAAAATTTCATTATATGTGTAATTGGCTTTTCCATGATTTCTTTTCTTTTTCTTTTTTTTTAAATATATTTTATTGATTTTTTTAGAGAGGAAGAGAGAGGGATAGAGAGTTAGAAAGATCGATGAGAGAGAATCATCGATCGGCTGCCTCTTGCATACCCCCTACTGGGGATGTGCCCTCAACCAAGGTACATGCCCTTGACCGGAATAGAACCTGGGACCTTTCAGTCCACAGGCCGATGCTCTATCCACTGAGCCAAACTGTTTTCGGCTTTTCCATGATTTCTTGTATCACATCCTATACATTTGCTCAGGAGCCAGACACAGGCTGATTATCTTGAAAATTCTTAAGATAAAGAAATCTGTGCTCAGCTTGGGTGGTCCGGTTTAATGGAGACCTCTTAAAATGCTGGCTAGCCTTGGGCTGGCGTGGCTCAGTTGATTGGAGCATCATCCCATGCACCGAAGCGTGGTGGGTTCAATTCCCAGTCAGGGCTACCTAGGTTTCAGTTTGATCTCCGCTTGGGATGAATGTGGGAGGCAATTGATCAATGTTTCTCTCTCTCTTTCTGTCTCTTTCCTTCCTCTCTAAAATCAAAAAAAGGGCATGTCCTCAGGTGACATCAAAAAAGTTATTGTTGATGTCAGAGAGGAAAGGAGAGGAAGACAGAGATAGAAACATCAATGATGAGAGAGAATCATGGATTGGCTGCAATCCAGGCATGTGCCCTTGACTGGAATCGAACCCAGCACCCTTTAGTCTGCAGGCCGATGCTGTATTCACTGAGGCAAACCAGGTAGGCTCTTCAGTGTCATTTTTTGTGACCATTCCCCTTTAAGAAATTCTCCTTTGAGAAATACAGTGCCCAGGCATGTGCTCCCTCGGGTTATCAAGGGAGCGGATCTTGTCTTCACCACAGTCTCCATACTATAGGAACAGTCTGCACTTTCACATGCTCAGGGGAAGCAGCATAGGACCAAATGTGTTCCCACAGTGCCTACCTCTGCATTTTGTTTACAGTGAGAACTTAGATGTTGTTCACATCCTGACTCTCTAAACCGATAAGGGAATATCCTCTTCAAAGTGATGATATCAATAACAGTCGTGATATTTACATTCTGTCCACACAAACAAGAAAAGCCAGCCAGCTGTACCCTTGCTACCCTGGAAGTGAATTAGCAGCTCTAATCTGAGCATCACATAATGCATCGCTTTATACTGAAATGATAACATCCTCTGTAATCAACCGAGTATGTAGACTCTTACCCCAGAGGCTGTGTAACCAGAATAACTCAGCTGGGAGCCAGGAACTCTAGATCCGTGTCCTGGATGGATCTGTTTCTAGCTGACCCTTCATTCGTAAAAGGAATGTGTTCAATTTGATCTCAAAGATCTTTTAGAAAGTCATCATGGGGTGGACTAAATCATGGTGCCACAGGAACTTAACTAAAATACAGCTGAGAGATTCCCTGGGCAATTGGATAAACAACTATGGTTGTTACTTTATGGATACAGAGATTTAAAATCTGTCGTTAGCTATTTTATTCAGTTGGTGAGAGCTCTGGCAGAATATGCTGACTCATTAACGTCCTTAAGTTATTTACATCAAGGCTTTATGGCCCAAAATATATTTTAAGGTCCCTCCTCTGAGTGGTTGTTTTTATTTTTAAACTGTCAGTGTTATTTGAAATAATCATGTACTTATTGAGTTCCTGAAATTAAAAATAAAAATGGGAATACTTTATTTCTGAAAAGCATATACTTGTCACGTCTATTTTTCCTTGTTGATTAATAAGAGAATGAAAGCTATGATAAAATACAAAATGAACTGATAATTTTTCTGTCATTTGAGTTAAAGTTTTCTGTAATGTGTCAAACAAGAATATCATATAGTTTTGTATCATATCTTTGGGAAATGGAGTTGGGTAACCAACACGTATGCAAATTTTTAATCAAATGATTTGAGAAAGGAATTAGATACTTTCCATAGCTGATGCATTTATTAATGTCACAAATACAGCTTTTGCCTTCTGTGAATGTGGGAAAATGTCTTCAAAACTCTGTTTATGTGTAAACTCAGAGTATTTTTGGGAGAATCCCCATCTAAGACATTGTTCATGTCCTGATTTTTTGCTCTTTGTAATATTTATCTGTACGCTTGTTCTTCAGTACTTCAGATTGGAAATAAATTTATTTTTTTAATGTTTATTTTGTATGGCTTTTTAAAAAATTTTTATTTATCTATCTTTTTTTTATTTTTAAGATCAGATACTTAAGTATACATGGGGAGTGGAAAGAGATAATAAGATTTCAGAATGGGCAGGAGGGAGGGAACGAGGTGATGTGTGGAGCTAAGTCAGCGAAGCATGGAGACTGATTCCTCTTCTTACTTTGATGCTGTCCCCTCCTGGGCAGATTGGCCACCCGCAGTGAGCCACCCTGGGACACTACCCCTACGCTTCAGACTTCCCTCCATCTTTTTCTCCTGGTAGCATGTGCCTGTATAGTACCTATGTCTTATAGACATATCCTTTTTCTCAAGGCCTTGCTGTTTAGCATCATAAAAGTGAAAAATGGGGTGAGTTTTCACTGAAAAATGGGTTATAATAAATGTTCTTATTTCTAAAAGTAGAACTGGGTAGTTGTTTTGTTTTTTTTGTTTTAACATATTGTATTGATTTTTTACAGAGAGGAAGGGAGAAGGATAGAGAGTTAGACACATCGGTGAAAAAGAAACATCAGCTGCCTACTGTAAACTCCCTACTCAATATGTGCCTGCAACCAAGGTACATGCCCTTGACCGGAACCGAACCCCGGACCCTTGAGTCCTCAGGCTGATGCTGTATCCACTGAGCCAAACTAGTTAGGGCTGGGTAGTCTTTTAAAGAGGTAAAAAAAAAAAAAAAAAAAAAAAAAAGGAATTAGTAGCCCAAAAGAGGATGCTGCCCTCCTATGGAACCTGAAAGCCCTAAAAGAATGCTACCACCTTCTCATCGTATTTTAATTATAATTAGTGTGATATGTTAAGGTGAGGTTCCCAGCTTTGTGTCTTTTCACAAATAGCTAAATGCTGAGGCAAAGTCATCAAACTGAAATGTGAAAGAGAATACATAACATCCATCTGTTACCAGTTACCCTGTAATAAATAGGGACTTCAAAATCTAAGACCTTTCTCTGATCTCTTTTTTTCCCTCAATGGAAAAACTACTTCCATCGAGGGGGGAAAAAAAAATACAATTCTCACTTTTCACAGCAGGCAAATATGTAAGGAAAGTAACACATTTCCGAAGCCAATTCATTCACCTGCCCAGTCTCAGCTCCCCAGACCAAGCCATCGGCTCCCACCTACTGCCCCTCCCTCTCTGCAAATCAAATTAGTCATTCCTGTGGACAAGCTGCCCTGAGGTGACTTCAGAGGCCTGAACAGGATCCTGTGCCTGGAAAAAAATGCCTTTATGACATTTCCCAGCAGATAAAATGCCTCTGGGCTCCGAGTGATAGGTCAGTTTCAAAGCATACTGACCGCCAAGAGGAGATGCCATCTCTAGATCTGTACTGAGATCCAGACACGTCCTGGGAGCAGGTATGAACAGGACGGAGGAGGAGAAGGAGACACGGTCTGGAGACCCTAATGCCTCGAGAAAGGAGAATGGGATTCAGGAAGAGGGGGGAGGAAAAGACTCCGACAGGAAGGACACCGCGCTTCATCTTCCATGTAGACAGAGGCGCACTTTCCCTTATGTCCGTGATGGTAAGCCCATGGTGAAATGGTGATGATAAAGAGCACAAACCATCAGACACGAGTAGAAACTCGGTTTCTGGTTGCAGCCCCTAGGCGTTGGCCGATACATGCTGCTTTGAGCACGGCCTCTCTTTCTCAGGGAAACACCAGATTCCTCCAGGCACTGAAATGGCCCCAAACCCCCTGAAATGGATAGATTAAATGTCATAAAGTTTCATAAAGCAGAAAAGGGAGGCTGAAATAAAAGTAACAGCAGCCCAGCCAGAGTGGCTCAACTGGTTGAATGTCATCCCGTGTGCACTGAGAGGTCACTGCTTTGATTCCCAGTCAGGGCCCACACCTGGGTTTTGGGTTTGATCCCTCGTTAGGGCACATATGGAAGGCAACTGATGGATGTTTCTCACATCGATGTTTCTCTCCCTTCCTTTCTCTACACATGTTCTCAGGGGAGGGTTAAA